GTTGTGTATGCTATTGAAAGACGAAGATTAATAGAAAAAAGTAGAACAATTTTTGAGAACATTTTAAAAATCAGTGTGAAGCTTGTGTATATTGATGAAAGAACTAATTGAAGAAAACAAATATTATTTTAAGAAAACATCGCTATCTTCAGTATTGGCGTTTTAGGAAGACGACTAAAAAATTCAATCTATTAATTTACTGTAACTTACGAAAATTCAGAGTTAACAGTGAATTATGGACATATACCATCATTATAAGTGGATATCATGTTGTATGTTAGTACACCAATAGCATCGCTAGACGGAGTTGCCGCACTGCACGCTAGTCCGTTAGCTCAGTCTGTAAGTAACCGTGCTGCAGTAAAGAAGTAAGTAGGCAACACAATGCTCGTGTTCACAATAAACTATTATATACTATTAAATTAACAAGTGTCATCACGTAAAGTACCCCCAACATTTAAAGAATGTTCTTCAAAATTACAGAGCATCGAGTCAGGTTAGATCAATTGGGAAATAGTAATTTTAAAAAAATCCTACGTATAGTTTAGGGACTAGCGTTCTTCACTGATGATGAGACTGATGGACGGACAGACAGACAGCCGGCCGTTTAAAAAAACAAAAACATTTTGTATCCGGGAACCTGAAAATTCGTATATTTTCATTAAAATCTCGATATCGATTTTCCCCAGCATTACGTATGTTATTCCGAAATACTATGTCTTTATAGGAGAAAGTAAAAACATCTGAATTTTAGTTTCAACCGCTGTTTCAGTTTCCGACCTAAAAGATACAACTCACTCACGCGTACTTACTCACACGACCGTTCAGCACGAAATCAAATATAGTACTGAAATGGTAGGCGGGTGCTAACAGCCACACCGGATGGAGCAGGGGTAATTAAAAGGATATCACCCTCCCTTCCAGGCGCCAAGTGCTTGATTCTCCATTCTTTACAAAGAAATATTTTTCTAATATTTCTTATTAAAAATGCTACTTGTCTTGAAAGTGAAATAAAAATTAATACAAAACCGACTATAATAAAGGCGGCATTAAAAGAGGAAGTTAGTTTGGTTGAAGTATTATATTACTCTAATATTATTAATATATTTAAGAAAATGTTCATTAATATGCAAATAATAAGTATCGCTTGTTTGTATTCACACGTATTATAAGATTACCGGAAAATATTTAATGTTCTTGTGAATGAATAAATAAACAATGCTTGTAGCGTCGCACGGTGGTTTGAACAAATTTAAAACGTCACATAGCATATTAAGATACATAACTTTAGTTAGTGGTTTTAAAACTGTTTTTGAGTGTGAATCCAATGAAGCATGTTCTAGGTGTAAAAATACAATATTCGATTTAATTTATATTCTTTATTTATATACTATTGTGACGACCCTGCACGTCGGAATACGCCGGTGACTTGTGCGCACCGTACCTAGCGGGGTCCCACAATATGTCACGAGACACGCGAGTTTTCGACATAGCGGAGGATGTGAGTTCGCTCGCGCTAAATTTATTTAAATGTGGGCGCCCACGCGATACCAACCAGCAACCTGCGCCAGATTTGGGAATCTCAAAGGGTGAGAGGGTTTGCCGTAAAAAAGAACTCACATAAGTAGAATCTAACTACACAAATCATTAGGAGTAATTCACGCCATATAGTAACAAGAAGTATTCACTTTTTTGCACTCAAGGACCCACAATACATTTTCTGTAAAAAAAAATCCCCACTTTCCACTGCAAAATTGCATTGTCTTTACTATGCTAGTGTCTTCACTACGTAAAATACAAATAAAACTAATGGTATATATTGTGTAAAACTTTTACGTCTACAAATTGTAATAAAATAAAACATGGCATTTCTTTGTGCTGCCAAAAGTATGCCCATCCCTCCCCGAAAGTGGTGCCTAGAGTACATACCCAGGCTGCCCCTCCTTAGTCAAATCACTGATATCTACTTATTGATTACGTCAGAAGTATTTAATAGGAATTAATTTTATTCGTCAAAGTTGGGTTCTGAGTAGTGAATGGACACTAATAGTTCAATACTTTGAAGAAACAGTTTGTAGTATTGATCACAGACTGGCTGACAGGCGAATGGACGGTGCGTCTGAGGTAAAACAACAACACTGTTTTCGATACTTAGAAGAGATTCCCTATAAGTGAATTTTCGTCAAAAACATGAGATCAAGTTTTTGCTCATTTACTTCGCATACAGGCAAGTGAAAATTCCATTTGTATACGTGTATGTGAAAGTAAAAGGAAGTAACTTGACGTTTCTGATGGTTTGGCAGCATCAGGTCACTGGGTCACTCGCCATCGGCTTTGCCAGCCGCGGCGTCAGGCTCCGTCAGCTGATGCGCATAAGGGCAATACGTCACCCAAGCGCTTCGCCCCTCCCCGCCTGGCCACGCCCACTGCTCCAATGGCGGCGGCACTGGCGACGTCACCAGCGACGCCATACCTCGATGACGGCGGCATTAACTGAGGCCACTGCCCTCAGTTTCAACGAGAGCAGATTTTGCAGTCTTATCTAGACGTTTGAAAACATCCACTGTCCTCTCAGCAAAATAAAGTAAATAAAAACAATGGCAATAAATTAATCATTATCAGATATTACTTTAGAACTCCATTTGTCTACTTAGATATTTATTTAAATACTAAGATGTGTGTTTTGGCCTAAGGACTGTCCATAAATTACGTTCCACAAATTTGGTCCCCTCTCTCCCCCTCTAACGCACCCATAACGCGGGCATGAACTCCCTCTAAATAATTCCGTAACGCTTGCTATCCCCCACTTGTAAATTCAAAAAATAAAAATAAATTATACTACGTTAAGAATCAGTTGTTTTTATTGTACTTTTATTGTATATTAAAATGAATGATAATTGCAGTAGAAATTACTTGGCAATGCTGACTTCACCTAGCAATAAGATTGGGGCAAGTTGTGAGTGGCGGAAGAACGCATTTGCGAGAAGAGTTTCGATCACAACCCGTGCACGCACCGTCGTGGAAATCCACAGTGTCAATTTAAAAGGATTCTAGAATATGCTGCATATCAGTTTGGCATACTCTCTTCGTAATCTTCCAGATTCAATAAAAAATTGATGAAATATTATTTCCACTTAGATGTTTTTTCCCCTATTTTTTGTAGAAGTTATTGTTGTTTCTCAATGACGCTTAATTATTGGTAAAATTCTATTTCAATTATACTTGGTCTCATCATAGATATAGTATCTTAAGAAGCCGCTAGAGGTACCACGAGCGCCACTGTTCCACTCTCAAATTGAAGAGGTTCGTCGCTGCCATTAGGATATCAAAAGCGATCAGCTGTTAACTGTGAATTAGATTGAGTGTGTTTTTACGCTGTTTGAGGATACGTATGCAGTGTGAGGTTAATTGTAATTTATTGTGAGGAATTTTGAAAAGGTAAATTCTGTTGTACGGTGATAAATTACTGCACGACCATGTTTTTATAAATTAGTAACGTCGTTATTCTTGACTGCCAGTGAGTCACCTCACAAGTATCGTGTGAGCAGTATCATAGTAATTTATTCATTTATGTTTGTATATATTATATTACACTTATAATGGTAGTTTCCTGTTGTGCGTATAATTGCACAAATAGAGCTGGTAAAATAGATATAAATGGGAGTAAAATTACATTTCACCGGTATGTTCGTGTGATTAGTAAATGGTTGTGTGACTAGCAAACGGTTGTGTTCGTCATAAACGATTTATTTCCATTACATGACTTTCTCCTAAACATGGAGGTTTCCCATTTCTAATAAAGAATTGTGCTTGAAGTGGGTAAAAGCAGTGAGGAGGAAGAATTTAAAAAATGTGGTATACTCGTAGAATGTTACATTATTCAGCTTTTATTTTCTCCATATTTTGAAGTGTTCAACAAGTCTGAGGTTGATTTTGACTGCCTCCTCTTTTATTATAAAATCTGAACTAAATTTAATTTATTCTGCTCTAGATTCAAAACTGCCCATGTGATTACAATTTTACACAACTGTACAAATCATGCACTTGTTCTTTGTTTGTAATAAAAGCAATTCGTTGCGAATTAAAACCTGTAATTTTTGTAAAATAATCCATACTCTTCCCAGCAATAAGAAATAAAAGAATATTCCAAAAAGCCCTATTTTTAATAAATAAAAAAAACTTTATGCAAATACAATGCAGAAAGTGTTTCTAATAGAGTACTTGATGGTAGAACTAGTGATTGTGAGGCGTGATGAAACAGCAGGAATGAATTTGAAATTGAAGTGCAGCAAGTCAGGGGAAAAAAACATTAAATTATATTAAGAAGTCAATAGGACAAACCAAAGAAAATTAAGCTCGTTACTGACAGGTTGTGTCAGAACAGGATGCAGGAAGAAAATTTGGGAGTTCTTGAAATGTACTCCAGGAATATATTTTACTACAATAATACAGTATTCTTTAAAACTTCTTTTCGCAAATGTTTCGAGAAAATGCCTCCTGTAGAGTAAATAAATTAGAAGCGCAAATCCTATGAATGTATTTCAAATTTTCTTGGTAGGTGAAGGGCAAAATTTGAATTCCCGCGCGAACTTGCCATCCTAATGGTGGATTTCTCGGGATTGAATTTGGGATTACGTTTCCCTGCCGGCTGCACGGGGTTGTTGGACCCTGGGTCCCATGAGGAAAATTTACTTCCGCTTCAGGCAACAAATCAAACTTTTAAAAAATTTAATTGCCCTGTTACTCAACGTATTTTGTGGAGACCTAACATTCTTTACAAATCTTTTTTGCTTTGCACAGTACACATTTCTGTCTATGAATCCAAATATATATATATATATATATATATATATATAATATATATTATATAATATATATATGATTGGAAAGCAGTTGGTCAAATTGTCTTGCATCCAAACCCATATGGCAATCGGCTGACTTCATTTTCGACGAAGGGGAAGGACGACTACGTCTTCATAGATGTAGATGGAGGGCAAAATATGGGCGGTACGTAGGGTAGTCAATAAGATGCTTTTGAACCCTTTGTTACGTTCTTGGAGATTTAGCTCTTCTGAGCACCCCCACAGAAGAGAATAGATGCTTAGGTGGACAGAAACGAACTGACGCTCGAAATGTATGTACTAAAATTAAATTGAAGAGTTAATAACCCCAGTGTGAACTAAACTGGATCTATTTTCATGTGAATACAATATTTTAACAAGTGCAATGTGTTATCACGTGTCCAGGAAATACGAAAAACATACAGAAACGCCTTTTCACATTTAATAAATGTATATGTGTTTACTTCTGTTGGACCTAAAAACCTGTTATATGAAAGAATAATCTGAAAGATGGGGGCTCAAAACTGAAAAAACTTAAATTTAAAATTTAATTTGTATTGCATGGAACAAAATAATTTTATAATTCTCTGTCTAAAAAAATTTAAAGAAACTGGTTCTTAAGAGAAGTTCTAATATGAAAATACAGTATACATTATATAAAAATTATTATTATTATTATTATTATTATTCGAAAAAAACTGAATCTTCATGAAAATTAACATAGAATATGGGACTTTTGGGGGCATAGTAGTTCCGGAGAGAGATATACAGCCCTGCAATACGTATTTCTAGCTACATGAGGCAGAAATAACGGAACGTTCTCCTTCCTTTTATTTCAGTTTAAGTTGTAAAACCGCTGAAATGAGAAAACACTCCCGGAAACATGTCGCGTTAGTATTTGAGTATATTTTTGTTTAATTCCTCTAATACGGATGATTTTTTTTCTATTACCATGAAAATCATATAATGCTGAAAACTGTTTACCAGAACCATTGGAATGAATGTCGTGTGGTGTTCTTGACACGACCAGTTCGCTGTTTCACTGCTCATGGCAATTTTCTGTACCAAACTCTCAGATTCTGTATTCAGACTCCACGAATCCTCCCCTCCAAGAATCTTAATGCCAATAAAATGTTGAATAAAGTACAATGGGAAATGTGAGAAAGTCTTTAATTTGTGTGTACAATGTTTATGCCACATTTCAAATTTCGTATTTATTGTTAGAAATTATGTGAATATGAAGGACGTGAAATGAGTTCTATTCATTACTTTGGTACTTCATATCTCGATATCCGGGTCATTCATTTCGATTCTTCTTGTATACCTTACGTTATTCTAATCATACTATTAATAATGTTTGTATTTTACATCATACATGTAGGAAGTATGCATGCATGTATGAGTAATTTTCAATTCACTTGCAGTTATGGGGAGCCACTGGAACACTAACTCTTTCCACAATGAAACCAGTGAGTACGGTGCTCCTAGAATGAAGAGGAAAACGACAAGACTTCATTACGCTGCGCACGATGGAGACTGCTTGAGGATTGAAAGCCTGTTGGCGGTAGGATTCGATATAGAAGCGAGAGATGCTTACGGCAGGACGCCATTGCTGAGAGCTGCACTTAATGGACATATTGACGCCTTTGATTTACTTCTACGATATGGAGCAGACTTCAACGCAGAAGATGATTGGGGTAGAAGAGTTGAACATCTTGCTGTAAAAAATGATCACTGGGATCTTTTATGTTTTATTTTGGAATGGGGAGGAGAGGGTGTACTTTACAGTAGGGACAATTTCGGTAGAACTCCGGCTCATTTAGCTTCATTAAAAGGAAAACTTGATGTTTTATCTGCAATAATTTCTTCAAAATTTAATATAAATGTCAAAGACAATTGGCATAGAACACCACTTCACTTAGCCTATAAAAGTGAGAATAATGAAACCGCTGAATTTCTCAAAAAGAAAGGAGCTGACAACAAATGTGTGGATCTATTTGGCAGAAGACCTGAAGACATGTAATAAAATAAAATTCATTACATTCACAGCTAAGGCGGACTACTAATTTAGGAACCCAAAGCATGGCCAAACTCTTCACCTTCAATAACATTCAAATATTGAAAATAAGAAACCAAAATTAATAAACTATTGTTATTTATATATCTGCGACATTTTAACTCAATTGACGTTTTTACCCCAAAAAGGACTTTAAACATTTAAAATTGATACACAAATTTAAGTTCAAAGTAAAATCTTTTCTGTTCTATACAGTTAGAGACAGTACTATTTAAAAGAAAATTAATATTTAATAAACAATGATAAATTAAATGTTTCGCTTGTGGATGAATGTAGCTTCATTCTGCATTCACGTTTTGTTGAGCTCTCCTTTTGCTATTTGTGGCAGAAGTAGAGCCGGTGATATATGTTACTATTTTTTTTATAAATACTAACAATTTAATTTTGAAGTTCGATTAGCACAGGGGTGGATCCAGGGGATCATTTTGGATGGGGCCATCATAGAGTTTGGTTATATTGTATATACTTTTTGTTTTGTGTATATGATAATATACAATATTATTTTTTAATAATTACGAGATTCTAACATAAATAAATATATACACCAATTTTGTCAAATAAGGTAAGAAACAAACGAAAACTCTAAACCTTTGGGGGAGGGCATGCCCCCCCCCTCTGGATCCGTCAGTGGTAGCAACAATTTTCTACAACTCGAGAGCGAAAATTCCTATTTTCAAATGTTACTAACCAGCTTTTATTCATCATTAAATTATTTAGGGTTAAAAAATGGGGAAGAAATTCCAGAGCTTCCACGTCACAGCTGATATGGTTCAAGGACAAAATAAATCAAATCAAATCAAATCAAATCAAATGAGGGCAACGTGCAAATCACGAGGGTCTCTGACCCGAGTTGTTGGAAGTTTTCTGAGAGGCAAAAGCGTCCGTAGTGTCAGTCAAATCGCGACCTTAAAATAAATGGATTCTAATGATCCTCCAAGGCAGGGAAAATTGATAGAAACCCCCAAAGTTATGTCGATATATTGTCACTTAAATAAAAGTTTCAACTTTAAATGCCTCCCGTGTAAATTTTCTTCAATGCAGTCAGAACCCTTTTTATTTTACGGTCGCGAAATGACAGAAGAGTTGCAAGTGCACGAACTACGATTACCCTTTTCTTCTAATTCCTCTTGCATTATTTGTTACGCAAATGTAACTGAAGGGCTCGGAAGAATTATTTATGCCTCTAAGGCTCAAAAACAAGTTTTCAGGCAAAAAATATCAATAACTTAAGTAATCTACCATAAATTTTGTCTATTACTGTCATTGTTTTCAACATTGATATTGCTTGCAGAGACGAATTAGAAGTGTGAGCTACATATAATATACCTGGTTTTTTGCCAAAGTGTGACTTACGACTATGTATTAAGCACTTCAACTAAATTTGAAATAATGTAAAAGAAATGTACAATAAAAAGTAGTATTTATGTAATAATTTTTGTCTTTTCTTTTTCCATTGTACTCCTTTCCGTCTTTCCAAGCATTACGACTAGTTTATTTCGGAGGTCCTTGACGTACTGATATTTGTAGGAAGAGGTGAGCATTCGTAATACAAGTAATAGTAAAGTACAGTCAAATAAGATTGTACACACGAATAAAAAAGTAGGTCCAGCGGGAAGCGACGGCAAAGTCAACTGCCATTTTAATCCTCTAATGGCAAGGTGTCTTTTCCCATTCAGTGGGAATATCTGCTCCAGAGGCAGACATTACCAAAAACCATTAATGGTTCACCTTTTAATCATGGAATTAAGGAAATATCTCGTTTTTTGCTACACGTCTTATTAAAAAATACATTATGTAAAACTGAAAAGTGATTTTTACCATCTTTACCAAAAATTCAGTGACAAATACTACGATGAAGTATTCTTTTCCTTTTGCATAATAATTGTCAGGTTAATTTTTTAGAATCATTCCTTTTAAATAGTGATTTTTTTATTTTTACATGCCATTTTGCACTCCTTCTTTTGCCAGAATAAATGCCCTATTGCACGCCTGTCTGAGTGAAAATAAATGCCTTTCGGTCTGTTAATTAATTTTATGTAGATTAAATCTAAGTTTTTTATGTAGAATAAAAAAACCCTCGCGCTCTGGGTATGAAAATGAAATGGGGCAATGTGGATCTGCGTTGTGCCATCAGTGACGAATTCGGTGAACCCGCGCATTCTACCTACAAAAAACTGCAAAGCGCCTTCGGAGAACATCTGTTATCAAGAGCACTTGTCTTCCGTTGAGGCAAACCCTTCTCGAATGATTGCGAAGCCGGGAGCAACGAACCTCGCTCGTTGCGACATTGAATATCGAAACGTAAGGAAAAATTCAATTAAGTGAGGGTGGATACGACAGATCTTGGGACAGTTCAGTAGAGCAGAGTGCGAACAGTGGGCCAAGTGTTGCACATCTCCCATCACGTGACTAAACTGCGAGTAAAAAGACGCCCACTACGACCGGAGCGGGAGTATGCCTTGTGATCTCAGCACGAGCGGTATCTACAAGCCAGGATCACAGTGCTGGACACCAGAATCCTCTATTGGCCCACTAGTTCTCAAGAAAGACTTTATCAACCCGGAATTGAAGGTAAGCACAGTCAACATGAGCATTTGGGAATGAATACGACAGACGAACAATCCCGACGACGTTCATTCTGTGATAGCACATGTCATTCAAGACGATCGATTAATTTGATGGCTGGGGAACGCAATGATCCATGTTAAGAAGGGATTGCCAGCCGTAGAGGAATTGAAATTTTTGTATAAAACCATAGAAAGTTAGAGCAGTTTAAACAATTATCATTATTTATGGGGGAGGGGGAGTTCTTGTTCACCAAAATCTTGCGCTCGCCGCCATCTTATTTCACAACAGATTCATTCGCTGTCAGTGTTATACAAGGTTATTTATGAGTTTCTTTCTTTATTTTAATAAATTCATGTTAGGCTTTGGCCCTTAACCAATAATTATTTATAAAAAAATATATATTTTTAATTTATATTCCTAATCACAGGCTACAAATATGTCAGTTTTAATAGAAATGTATTTCTGAATGGCACACTAGCGGTACTGTACTGGACAGTTTTGACTCGTGAAGGTGACCTCTAGGGTGAAGCTTGCATCAGCGGTTGCTATGACAACCGCGATAACAGCGCGGGTTCCAGACCGCTTCTGGAGTGCCGGTGAAGTGGGCCATAGAAATACGATTCTTCTTACAATTTGAAATTAGTTACGTGTGTATTCATTTATAGAGCTCGAATTATTATGCATTAGAAAAATTATTTTGCGTACTAGGAGGGAACCGGTGCTTTATTTTCTTATATACTCATTACAAAGGTTTTTTTTTGCATGAAGATGCAAATGCGTTAATTTCGTTGCATATACCAGTGTTAAGCTGAATTATATGGCATACTACTTAGGATTAACCTTGTATTGAATTTAAATAGGATTTTTCGGAGTTGGTATCATTTATTTTCTTGGCGCGATTTTACTATTGTGGAATTCTTTTAGTAGGTAATACCATGTCACTAAATTACTTCCTTCAAATGTATTAATAATAATAACGACAATAAAGTAATAATAAAATTAATAATAAAATTAATAATAATAATAATAATAATAATAATAATAATAATAATAATAATAATAATAATAATTGTCTTTATTTGTGGCGACGCTAGGGCCGTAAGGCCTACTCTTCGACCCAACCACTTAAATGATTTCACAATTTAAAAAATTACAATTGATATTACTTACCTTCGGACGTAAGTAATATTAACTGACAATCGTTACAGAGGAACAAAATAATTAGAGACTACCATCTACATGAAATTATCTGTGCAAACCAATGGAATTTACTGACATATTCTGTGCATTCTTGAAATTTTGCAAAATGGAATAACATGATTCAAGTAGCATTCTTAAAAGTGAGATAAAAAAGAGCTATTACTTATCCCATTTGGAATCAGTAATTCTAATTTCGCGCAAAAAGTCAGTTGTAATTATTTATAGACGAAATGCCTCAACTGTGAACAATAAATAAAAGGGGGGATTTTGTTTTCATTACGTCTGAAATGCGATACTAGGGACCATCCCAGCATACCCCTTAAGCGAATAAACTCAGAAAAAAATGAATCAGGAGGACGGCTTAATGTCGAACATTGAGAACAAGATATATCAAAGTTGAAAGTAAAAAATAAAAGGAAAGGGGAAGAAAAATAACAGATGGAGGGGAAATAAGAGAAGAAAAGAAAAGGAAAACAATGAAACGAATTCGAGAGGATCAGAAAGGAACACATAGTACATATTATACCTTAATTACATAACATATTAGTTGAGGACATAGACAATACATAATCTCTAAACAAAAACATGGAAAGTTACCACATTAATCATATGGTAAAGGCAGTTACAAAAGGAATCTTGCGCTATAAAAAAACAGAAAGTGTCAGCAAAAGAATGCTGTGAGTACTGATTATCTTTGGACCAATAATAGCAAGAAAGAACAATAAAAGCTAAATACTTCATGATTTGAGAAAGATGTATATGCTATTGAGTTACATAAAATGTTCTTATTTTACATTAAGAAATCTAGTGTAGATGGGGGCAAAACCCCGCGTGGGGAAACCTCCGCATGGGCTTTTTTAATAGACAGCCAATGACTATGAACCTTACTGCCGGGCTGCAGTTCGGGCTTGATACTAGCCAATTGGTTATAGATACGCGTGAAGGTTGCTTCGTCAGTCGCTGAAATAATGAAGTTTTTTTTCAGTTTTGGTGTAATAATTGTGAAATTTCAATTTGATATTGTACGAAGATGGTTGCAAGGAAATGAATTAGCTATTTATAAGTTTACACTAATTAAATGAAGCTTAAATTCTGCGGGCGTATTTTTGCTTCATTTCGAATGCCAAGATGGCGTATTGGCATCTCTTCAAACATACTGAAATGGGGCAAAATCCCGCAGTCTTTCTAGAGCAAATTCCGGCACTCAGAAATATGATACCAGTACACGTAAGCTTCCGCGGCTCGAGTTCATGACTTCTTGGCTGTCCAAGTGACGCCTTCTTTGACTGAGAGGCCGACGTTTCGCCTGTCATGTCACGGCGTCACCCGGACAACCAAGAACTAATGTGATACCACCTTGGAAATATGTATAGCATGCCAGCATACTCGGAAATATGACAGAATTTGCCCCATTTGAGGCGATTTGCGAAAATGTTTTTCTGAAAATGTATGCAGAACATGGTACCTTCATTCGTGTACCTATAAATGTTGAACGTTTCTATAGGCACAATACTTATAATGTACCTCCCATTTAGCTAGGTTGATATCTATTTATATATCTACACATTTCATTTAGGTACCTATTCAGATTAGCAAAGAAGTATTGATAATTTTCAATTCTTCACTTTTTTCTCGGATCTAGAAAGAAAAAACACCTATCAGACCCATGAAAGAAGATTTAGTCGCAGAAACACTTATTTTACGAGTTCACAAAGCGCACTACCTGTGTCACATAAACAGCCAAACACAGTAAGGAAAAGTACAATAAGTTGGCAGAAGATTCTTCAGATACAGATGCCGTGTCCTCTATACATGACAGCAGCTCTGAATTCAAATTTCGATTCATTGAAAAGGAAAACGATGGCAAAGATGAGACAGAGACCTCATAATGTTTATGGTTTTTGTATTTGCTGACAAAATAAAGTGTTATTTCAGGTGTTTCGTTAATTGCGTTTAATTAATTAAAATAATAACTAAAAAATCTAAATATTAACTTAAATACTAACTAAAATAACAACTAAAATATATTAATAAACATTAATAAGTAATATAATAGCCCGTTTTTATTTTTCATATTATAATTAAAAGAAAAATAAAAGTCGGCAATACCGCTTGTGTATTCATTAAGATAAATCTGTTAAATTTTAGAAATTAGAAAGCTCTCTTGGCCCTAAAAGAGACGCTGAAATGAATAAATATTCCAAATTAATCATCTAGGTATTACTTCTGAAATTAATCAATTATTAATCACCTGGATGTAGTATCACCTAGATTTATAATTTCTAGGTACTGTTTCTTGCACTCCGCAGTTGTATGATATCGTAACATGGAGAATATTATAATTTTGTGAATGATGGCCTAAATAACACAGCTCTTGAAGAATTATTTGCCTTGGTATGAAGGATCGATGAAAGCCATTATGGCAAACCGTCAACTTTATGTAATCGTACATCAATACATTGAGAATTCAAATTGTAGAATTAAGTGAAGTAAAAGGGCGTGTAAGCAACAATAGAATTAATATTGGCAATTTCAATGGGAAAATATAATTAATATTAAATTATTTTTAATATCATTCAATTTTCTTCGTGGCCCGTAGTTGGTGTGAAACCTGTACACGTTTCATTAATTTCAACCACAAATAATGACTTTTTTTAAGTAACTTACTTTATACAACAAACTTTGCTATCCTGCGAGGCTGCGAGGAAAAAATCTCTATCTTCAATTACGTAGTTTTGAAATGTTTGCAATTTTCGAAAAAAACGAGCATTATCCGAAAATGTAACTAGCGCCATATTTCTTACCGTTTCTTATCACATATGGGAAGGAAATTTAAAAGAAACTTTCGAGTGTTTTTTGAGAAAAGAAATAGTACATTTCAATCGCAAATAACCGAAAAACTAGTTTATTTTTATTCTTTTAAACAATTATACCTGACATTTTTTAAAGATCTAACTTGTTACACCAGGCTTTGTCTGAGGCCAAATACCTCTATCTTCAATTTCGTAGTTTTTTTTATTTTATTATTTTTAATTTTCGAAAAACCGAGCGATACCAGAAAATGGACTAGCTCCATATTTTTTTACCATCTCTTATTTCATAAGTGAAATATTTACTTCGTAAGTGATAAACTTTAAAGAAAAAATTGGAGCTGCTTTTGAAGAGCTAATTTTGTGCAACAGACCTTGTTTGAGGCAAAAATCTCAATCTTCAATTTTGTAGGTTGGAGGTTTTTTTTGCAATTTACGAAAAAAACGAGCAATACCCGAATATGAGACTAGCACTATATTTCTTATCGTCTCTTATTGCACAAGAAAAAATTAAATGAAAAAATTCGGAGCAGTTTTGGGATTTTTTTTTGTATATTTCATCAGCTCGTTTTTTCAAAAAATTGTACATGATATTTCGGAAGAACTAAATGTTTACAACAGACTTTGGCTGAGACAAAAATATATCTCCAAGTTCTATTTTATTTTCATTTTCGAAAAATTGGGGAAGTCAACGAAAATGAAACTTGCATCACTGTCTTAAACGTCCTTTGTACTATTCAACAACAAAATGTAATCAAAAAATTTGGATCCTTATTTTTTAACTTAAATTATCCCAGAGACTCCATGTAATTTACCCCTCAAAATTAAAATTTCTGTTTCAAATTCCAGGGTCCGCTATATAGACTACAACAATTGGGGAATATTTATGTTGAAGAAAATCGGCTGAACGGTTTATGCGCTAAAGTCATGCACAGACGGACTGACAAACAGACAGACGTTTTGCCATTAGTCCATATTTCGGTATCAATGACCTACAAAACATGGATACTGGCTAAACCACGTGTTATATGATTTTTTTTCTATATTTAGCAACTGTATTTATTCACTTTTACCTTACCAGAGCCCGACAATCTACGTGGAAAATTCGCCGTTTTCCAGCGCACGATTAGAATACCTTCTCTTCTTACGTTAGTAAGTGCAAAAAAGTAAAAATTAACTTCTCAAAAGTACAATATTAATGATAGAGAATATTTTCAAGTCAGTCTGGTCTAAAAAAAAGCAGATCCTAGACAAGGTAATGTACAATGTTACGAAGAAACTAGTAGTTATCGCGTAACTTCTACGTATAGTTACTACAATTAGAAAACATTATTTTTAAACCGGTCCAGATTTTCCTATCATTCATAGGATTTTTCTTTTAATTCTTTGAAGAGAGTGCTAAATGTTCTGAATAACAAGACATAAATGCCACGAGGATGTATTTTTTAGTTTTTCAATTATTAAACAAACCTGTTTTTTAAATATATCTTACTAGGTTAATATATAGATCCCGGCAATTTCTATCCATTATTGCGTTTGTGAATAGCACATCTTCAAAAGATAATTTAGGTTCTGGAAACTTACAAGTTTTCTGTGAAAGTGAGCATAAAATTGCACATTTGTTGAAATGTTCAAACGATGTATTCTCAAGCCGGCTGTAAAGCTTTCAACGAAAATTCGGAAGTAGAACCAGGATTTGTTCCTCTACATCTTAATGACATATTAACTCGACTCCTAGAAATTCAAAAGAATTGGGGGGAAAAGTATTTTAGGCGCCGATAGTTAAATGCTGAGGAGGGTGGGGCGAAAGGGAAAAACTAGCCGACACTAAACAGATTAGGAAATAACTTGTAGAAGAAAGTCTGTCACTCTGTAGCACCACTTTGTCGTCGTGTACGTACTGAAACGGTTTCTATATGGTTATATGATTAGTTTAATTAAAATAACCGATAATACCTTCGTCCCGCTCTGGGCGACCACAAATGTAATAATCTTATAAAACAATAATACCCATATTTTCATTCTGCGCTGGACGAAATTGCCATGTAAATGTCTGCAAACAATACTAATGTTTTATATTTATTCACCGTAAACTAATCCGCCGGGTTCAGAAATTTATATTTTGGGGTGAATCCGCGAAGTCGTTCCATAAGGAAATCGGGATGTTTTCAAAAATATTCTGGGAATAAGTTGCGTGGCTTGTTGCTAGTAGTAACTGTAATTCCCTACTTAAAGAAAATAAAGTTCCATAATTTTAATATTGCGACCGCAATTACGATGGCAACTATTTATTTAATTCAGCAACTCCGCCTAAACTGCACTGAACAACAATAATAAGAGAAAATACATAAGAAATATTTATACCCTTCCAAATAACAACTTTAATATACATTCAAACTTATTTATTCTAATTATAAAAAAGAAACAAATCATTCATACCGGACACGCGTAGTCTCATGGCCATTTACTCTTTAAACTTAATATTACGTTTGTATCTGTTAAAAATATTTTTAGCCTTCCCATATTATTTCGCATTAAAAAAAAGGTGTTGCAATTCCCTGGGATGCAACAATGCCAGGCCTTCTGCCATCAGTAGTCGTCACTCCGTTGATCTCCAGGAAAATACTATTCCTCTAATGAAATTCAACATTCATATTCACCTTTCTCTTAAGCACTCATCATATCGCACCTCCAATAGAAAAGTGACACAAGTGCGAAATCGTCATTTTTCAGCTAAAAGCTGATAAGAGGTTACCAAGAGGTACTGCTACTATTCTGAAGTTGATTTTAAATTAGTTCAATTACTGTCCGCTAGAAGGTGAATATTTGGTAATCTATAACGTGTATTACAGAACTACGAAACTTAAAATTGTAATTTCTGAGAAATCGGAAATTCGCACTTCTGTCACTTTTCTATTGGAGGTGCGATATTCTTTCACGTACCTCAATACTTTTACTTAAAAAAAACTATACTTTAGCGGCCGGCTATCAGAAACGTAGCCTCATACGTTCGTATACCATGCTGTCTACAATCGCTGTCTTTTTTCCCAGCTCGTGTACAAGAAAGGTAAAGCATTTGCCATCACTTTTGCCTGACAATTCTCCCTTTCTCGCTATTTTTATTAATACTGTCATATTACATATTCCCACGATTAACCACAATGTTTTTGAAGCTCTTTTATGTACATTTAATCAGTTTTATTCCCTTTAATCCTTTCAAAATTTTATATTACATCATGAACATTTCGACCTCTTCCCTTCAACTACCTTTCATATAATATTGTTATTTTCGGTTTAATTGCCTTAATATCTGCGCTAATGTTTACGTAATTTATTACACTCTTTGTTAACTTATGTCTGGTCTATTTATTAGTAAACACATTTCCGTAGATCCGGCTCAGTTTTAACTAAAACGTGTTGGTTTTCGTTTACTTTCACTTGTTTGCATTGCAATGTCATTTTCGGGATTAATATTTATGATTATAATTTTTTTTAGGAATCCGTATGGATTGTCACAGTATGTATATAAGGAAAAATAAAAACATATCAAGAAACATATGTAATGCCGAGGGAAATTGTATTCAGTCAAGATTGCTACAAAAAATACCCGTTTCGTGTCCCATGATAGGGTAAAAATGTTTTTTTGCTCCATCCGCGTGTTTGTCCTCTGCCCGTTTGTGAACAATAGAAGCGCCCAGACGACTTGGCCCGACTCAAAGCTCGGCTATTTTGAGAACAATCTTTAAATTTTGGGGATATGAAGCCCCAGGGAGATTTTCAGAACTTTCTCAAAAATGTCTCCATTTTTTCTGGAAATATCTTGCAAGAATAGACTCAAATAAACTTGTTTTGAATTTGCGAGTAGAAGTGCTTCAAATCATCTCCAATGAAGTTCTGGAAAACTCAAGTTCTTTTTTGAAAATGAGCCAAATTGCGCATATTCGGAAACGCTGAAATCGTAATTAAAAATGGCTCAACATTTCAAACGAATTTTTTCCGATTGCCGAGGTTTTACTATTTTGTAATATTCTCAAATATATTTTTCATTTGTCATCAGTGTATCGTGAAATGAGAAAAAAGGTACTTTGGGCGAAAACAGATGGCAGTTGGAAAGAGGGAGAAGCAAAAAAAAAAAAAAAAAAAAAAAAAAAAAAAAAAAAAAACTGAAAAGCTAGCTCAGACTAAAGTAATTAGAAATCTAGTTTGTAGGAGAAAGTCTGCGGTATTCTGTAGCATTATAAGTTAATAGTGTTGAACGAACTTGGTCGTTGTGGCTAGAAACTGTTCAAATTATAAAATAATTGGTTTCTGTTAACAATTAAATTTCATTCAACTTTCAAACAGCGAGACACCATCACATCAACAGTACTAGGATCAGCAAGAGCAGGTAAGTACAGTGCAGTTTTTTATGAGTGCTGGCTTATACAAACTGCAGTGGAGTGCAATGCATGATTCTCATTGAACTGCTTGCGCGTTTCCTATGGGACGGGGTGAATGTATTACGAGTATTTCCTGTGTCAGGCTGTCAGATATCCGGATATCCTACTATTCTTATTTCCTGATTTCTCGGTAAGTTCATTAGTGACTTCCTGTTGCTGGCGGTCAGATATCTAATTTCCTGCGTCCACGTTGCTCTTCCGCTGATTATAGTTTCCTGCGGATGTGGAGTGGAAGTGGTTTTCCCGCGTCCACATTGCTCTTCCGCTAATTATAGTTTCCTGCGGATGTGGAGTGGAAGTGGTTTTCCCGCGTCCCCGCCTTCGCATTGGATGCAGTAGGCGAGTGGGAGCACTGCGCATTCGTTTTGCGCATCGTAGGATTCCCTCCCCACCAACAGGCCAGCACTGCCTAATGGTAGGATACATAATTTCTTTACGTTTAATCTCACTTCAGTGCGTGAAGGTGACTGTTGCGCAACTGCGTTCCGTAACTTTCAAAGTTCAGCAGTGAGGACGAGGATTTTGTGTATATAGGAGCAACGCTAGTTTCGATAGGTAGTCTTACTTTTATTTCAATTTGAATTCTATTGCCTGTCATATTTAATTTTAATAATTTTATTTCGTATTTTGAATATATTCTATTACGATTGTTTCTTTAGATTGCGTAATGGATCAACAACAGCAAGGAGTGTCTGTCATACGTCATACTGCTGAAGGTAAATTGCCTTTGATTTAAATTAAATGAATTTAATAATTTTATTTCGTTTGTTGAATGTGTTCCATTATAATTTTTTCTTTAGATTGCGTAATGGATAAACCACAGCGAGGAGTGTCTGTCATACGTCATACGTCTGAGGGTAAATTATCTTAGATTTAAATTAAATGAATTGAATTCACTTTTAGTTCCTATTCATTAGTTTCTAATTTCGAATCATTTGTTCCTTACTATCATGATGTATTTTTATAAAGAATTTATTGCGCCTCCATAATGACGAAACGCGTCCTCTAATCCTTGTTGAGTGTTGAAGGCCATTATTGTCATTATTATTATTATTATTATTATTATTATTATTACTATTATTACTACTATTATTATTATTATTATTACTATTAGTATTTTTTTTATTTTTTATTATTATTACTATTAGTATAAATATTATTATTAATAATAGCAGTAGTAGTGTTAGTGGTAATAGTTTGCTCTTTCGCAGAAAAGAGTGCACCTTATTGGTTTTCAAAAAATTTTGTGTGTGTTGATTTTTCAAATTTGTCTTCATAGTCTTATTCTTATCGTTTTCATCCACCATGAAACTACTTTCCTATGATTCAATAAGATTGTACAATTTTCTTTATGGTTCAGTACAAATAAGCAATTGAAGGGGGCTGCTACACCCTTCCACGTAGTAAACCACTGAGTAGTGTGACAGGTTCCACCGCCAAACAGTGGATGCGAACTTTGCAGAGCCGGGACGGTGTTCAATTCAGAAAGCTGAAGAGCTAGCCGATTACTTTGCGTCAGCAATTAAAACAAATACAATCAAACCCCTCCCGAACAAAACAGTTCCACACCCTCTTGTTTTAGAAATTCGTACTTCTCTCAACAAGGGAAACATGCAACAATTATCCCCGTTCCTAAACCTGGGAAAATGCAACAGCTCCAAATAGTTATTGCCCTAGAGGCTTACTACCCACCTTAGCCCACAGCAGATTTACCAACACTAAATTCAATAAAAATCTCCCAATTTGTGGACAGCATGGCTCTATTTTGCTCAGGTCTTGATCTTTACGAAATACGTAACACGAAGCAACTTATCTTAATCTGATAGCTGGTTCGCTAAACAAAAAATCCAACCTAACCCATAAAAAACAGCAAAAAAATATATATAATGGGGAAAGCAAGAGTACGAGTAAACAGTATCTGGATTCGAAGATGGACAGGTATACAGATAGTCGGCAAGAAAATACTAAGTTTCTGCAGCCAGTGTCAATCGTGCGCCATGAAATGACATTTAAACCCAATTTGGTCAAAATATTTTTTTCGAAAACTCAATCTACCATTCTTCATGAAATTCAACATACAAATCTGGAATATATTTTAGTGCGGTAGGTCCCGGTTGCATACTCGTACAAGTCCACTATCCTGTTTACATGTTGGAACCATTGTTTCTAAGTATAATATTGTTTAATATCTACTATATGGAAGAATATTTTTTCCTCATACCTTGCGAATCATAGAATTCTACAAATTTTTCTCCGTAATTATTGAAATGAAGGTCATGTGGTTTTCTTGACTCGACCACTGTTCCACTACTCAAGGCTTTTTTCGTTGCAATCTCTCTGTGTATTGTAACGGGTCCAAAATATATGTAACCAACTCTCAAATTATATAGGCACTCCCCCCCCCTCCCAAAGAATCTCTATGGCAATACAAATTTAGAGTAAAGGACATTGGGAAGTGTGTCCTGCAGTAAAGACATCTAAAGAGATAACGTCTAGGAATTCATAATGTGTTTTGCCACATTTTATATTTCTAGAGAAAGCTGATTTTGTACTTCCGGTTAGAAATTATGTTAATGTGAAGGACGTCAAATGTGTTCTACTCGTTACTTTGGGACTGCTTAGTATCGTTTAACTCATTATTTATTAAATAACTTTACATTCATCTAATCATACTATTAATAATATTTGTATTCTACATTATACATTGAGGAAGTATGCATGCATCTAATTTTCGATTCACTTGCAGTTATGGGGAGCCTGTGGAACACGAACTCTTTCCACAATGAAACCAGTGAGTACGGTGCTCCTAGAATGAAGAGGAAAACGACAAGTCTTCATTACGCTGCGCACGATGGAGACTGCTTGAGGATTGAAAGCCTGTTGGCGGTAGGATTCGATATAGAAGCGAGAGATGCTTACGACAGAACGCCATTGCTGAGAGCCGCCCTTAATGGACATATTGACGCCTTTGATTTACTTCTACGATATGGAGCAGACTTCAACGCACGAGATGAGTGGGAAAGAACTGCGGAACATCTAGCTGCAAAAAATGGACACCGGGAACTATTTTGTTTTATTTTGGAATGGGCAGGAGAAGGTATACTTTACAGTAGGGATAATTACGGTAGAACACCGGCCCACTTAGCCGCATTAAATGGAGAAAATGACGTTTTATCTGCAATTATATCTTCAAACTTTAATATAAATGTCAAAGACAATTGGCGTAGAACACCACTTCACTTGGCGCGTAAAAGTAAGAACAAAAAAACCGCTGCACTTCTCGAAATGAACGGTGCTGACAACAAATGTGTTGACATATTTGGCAGAGGGCCTGAAGACATGCAATAAAGGGAAAAATCGTTTGGAAGCAGACTTTGGGGATGGTATTTTATTTATCTAAATTCAATGACACAATTAACACAAAGTTCAATTTCAATGTCTTAAATTCTGTAATGTGTTATGAATACATTACTTGCATTTTTTAAATATGTCATCTAGAAACTGGAAAAATGCAATGGAGCACCCTGAGAAAATTATGGATAAATATAGAGAGAAGGATGGGGTGGATTGTGAAAACAAATTTATTGTACATCTGAACAGGAACAGTGTAGATGAATATCCATATGTAATTATTGGGAAATAAATTTATTTGGCAATAAACTTATAAATATTGTTTTAATTCATCTGCAGTTTTCACTGTTGAATGTTCGGTTGAAATCTATTGTCGTAAGACCAGGGCGATTATGAAACGCAGACAAATAAAATTTAAGAAATACTCTAATATCCTTTTTTTTTAAATTTCTTTTAATTCATTCTACATCCTTATGAACCATTAATAATCTTTATATGAATGAAATTTATTAATTCATTCCTCCAAAGTTTTCTAATTATACATCCATTTGACAATCAAGTAAAACATTAAACTTCTCATATTGTAGCAATAAGAGTTTCAGGAGAAAATTACCCATATAATTAGTCTAAATGATTATTTCAATGTTTCAATGTATCAGTGGATTAAAATTAACGTTACAAAGAGAGAAGTTCTTGATGAGAGATTTTTCGTATTGCATATAATTGAATATAGCGGCACAGCCCAGCTTAATGTACATTTTCGAAGTTGGCAAGAACGAATATTCGCCTTATCGCCGAAACTTCTTGGGACCAAAGCACTCTGAAAAGCTGTATATATTGCGTGGCTGTCTATGATTTCATGCCCTCCTATAAAAATCGGATCACAACCTATTCCTCAAAACGACTCAGCAAAATATCTTGGAATTACACTGGACAGAAGACTTACGTGGAAACCACATATAAAGAATAAAAGAAAAGAATTAGATCTCAAAATTATCAGATTAAACTGGCTATTAGGAAAAAACTCATCCTTAAGCATCGCAAACAAAATTCTTCTGTATACGAGAAAGCATTACTAAAACCAGTCTGGACATAGGGAATACAACTTTGAGGAGCAGCTCAAAATTCAAATATTGAAATATAACGTTTCCAATCTAAAAGCTTAAGAAAATTTGTAAATGCTCCTTGGTACGTAACGAACGCCACAATACAACGAGACTTACAAATGACAATAAAAGAAGAAATGAGCGCAAAATACTTACGACTACATAACCATCAAAATATTCTTGCCATTAACTTACTAGACAATAGTGACACCACCAGACGACTTAAACGATATCATACTTTAGACCTGACATATCGGCTATAAATTGTTATATTATTTTCTGTTTTATTATTATATATGCTTATCACCGTATATTGTAGTATGTTAGTTTAGTTTAGTAATCAAATGTGTGTGTGTTAATCTGTGTGTGTGTGTTAATCTGAAAAATGTAATATTAGGAGTACGGTCAATGGACCGTACTCCTCTTATGTTATTAAAAGTGTATGTAATTTTGCCAAACGTTTATACCCAGACAATTGCAAAATAAAATATTATTATAACAAAACTAACAATGGTTAATTTTATTATTGAAGGTCGCAATAATACAGCTCTCAGAATTATCTGATGCAGTATTTTCATTTTATCAGCTTTAACTTGATATGTACTTTACACAATAATTTGCATCTCAATCAATAACATAACATGATATAAAATTATACTGAAAACCAGCAAATAGTTTTTATGAATTACATAACCGCACCGCTGGAAATAATACGGCACATTGCAATTGCAAAAATAGTTTTAAAATTTCAATCAAAACTATTAAAACATTAAAAATTGATCATGAAGTTTAATTAACTAAGTAAAAATGAAGTAGGGGAATAACAGAAAAAAAAATTGTGATAGGAAGAATAAGGAGCAGTAGGAGACAATGATAACTATTTCCCTCAAGTTATATATAAAGCTTTATACAATGTTGGAGAGAACCAAACTTTTGATCTTGTTGTTAAGCGATCGAATAATCTAAGGTTTACCCTATCATTGTTCAGGAAATTCAAAAAACAAAAACTAGAGAAAAACAAACATTGAAAACATATTTTTTTATTACCACACTGTTCTCGAGATATTGGGGGAATTATTTCGTTATCACGCAAATTCCGCTTTGGAAATAAACCTTTCGCCAATTCGCTCAGATTGTGATATTTACCGCGTGTCGACCAGGAAACGAACAGTATTCAAAGTTATTCAAAACAACGCAACTTTAAAGAAACATGAGCCCTGAGCAGTCATGCCAATCTCAAGGACATGACGGCGTTGCCCAATTTATTAAAAACTTTTCGTCTCACTCAAACAGTGAAAGTTTTGCCATTATTAGCAATCACTGCACAAAAATGTATATATTTGTCTATAATGTCACTTTTATGATTTTTTCTCTTACTAATTGTTTAATAGTGTTTTTTTTATGTTCAATCTTATGCTTCAAATTTTCATTCCGTGGCCACGCGATCTGTTGATACTACTTAAGACTCTAGTCAACGGCAGCTCTTTGTGTGGTATTAAAATATTTTTATTTTACATCTATTAAACTCAATTAATTCAAATAATTAAATAAAACTCAGCATAAAAGTCCCCATTTGGTTTATTAGGTTTCATTATACCCACTAATCTCGCAAATAATTATTTTTGAACGTAATATGGACTCTATCTACTAGGGAATATCTCGTTCTAACCAACTTAAACAAAAAGTACCCTTTGTTCAATAACAAAATCAATCTAGCATGTTTCTCATCACTCTTGAAAAAATATTGACAAATTAACAAATTGAAATACAACTGTACAATTTTTAACACTTTGACAACAATATAAAGGGAGAAACAAGCACAGTTTGTAAATATCAAGTTACATGCACAATCTGAGCAATCATTACAACATTCACTTAAATTTACTTAAATGGGGTTGCTCTCTGCACTGACATTTTACTCAAGCATGGTCCAATGACCGCTGTTTACACAGGAAGATGTCATGACACGCAACCACTGTACATACTCATTAAAGAGTTGGCTTGGGGCACTACGAAAATACTGTCAAGAGCCTCCTACGTCTTAGTGAACTGGGCGAACTTGATGCTTCTTGCAGCCATGGCAAATTCGTGATTAAAGATGATGAGAAAAAATAGGAAAGACTATTATTACCGACCTCTTTTCGGGGTCTTGCTCCATCCAACAGCACGAAGCGGCGACGGTCAGCGGGCTGGTGACGCCGAATATGTCTCCGCGCAGATCCGGGTTGTTACACGGCAATGTAGTGTAGGAAGTAGACGTCAGTAAACCTACGCGCATTTTTTCCCTTCCACTACGCCACAAACCAATAGCACACTTTTTCGACCTTCCTATCTCGCGTCTCAAAGCCTTCTCACACCCCGTTGTTCTCTACCGCGTTGGTCGGCACAGACACTACAATTCAATTTTCTAAGAATATGTAAGTAGGGGTTTCCAACCGCTTGCGGAGGGTACTGCCCGCACTATTTGAATGTAGCATTGGTATCTCAACTACAGATACGCATAGGTTACAGTATACGTACTCGTAAGTGCAACAATGTAAACAAACCGCCGCTTATGTAAATATTAACGACGTGAGATAAGTAAAAAACTAAATTTTTGTAATTTTTGAAAAAACAAAGGAGTAGAGCAAACTGATTTTAAGTCATTTCACAGAATACACCCCCAATAAAAGTTTAAAGAAAAAATATCGAGCAGTTTTGAGATAATCCAAATTTTGTAATTTTTTAACTTGTACATGTGGCACGCAAACTATTTAACAATAGTTCGAAAACTACTAAAATTTTAAAAAAATTATATGACCATAATGAAACATCTATACATGAAGAACAAATTTTACTTGTAGGTCACATCTCTATATTTAATTTTGTAGTTGGAAAAATTTTAAATTTTGCAATGATCGAAAATTCTGTTAGTGAAAAACTAATCTGTACACACTTCATAATTGTATTATACTGTATTATTTCAAAAAAAAACAACATTTAAGCCATTTCTTTAAGAAAATTGAAAATGTCGCGAAGGCTTAATATAAAGTATCCTCAAATTTTAAAGAAAGTTTTTTCAAAATCGCAGGTCGCATATCAGGTTTTTTCTCTAGTTTCTCTGATCTTTATTAGCGAACTGACATCTATCGTCCCCCAAAGTTCATTTGTGAGCAATTTTCTCAATTTTTCGGTTTCCGAATAGTGCATCTGAAATATTGTTTTAAGAATATTAAAGAGAAAACTGTCGTAGTAGATGGCAATTTTAATCGAAATGTTTCGAGCCGTTTTTAAGAAAATTGCGTTTAAGCGTTACTGTAAATGCAAAATTTGAAGCTTCTAGAAACCGATTTCAATTGAAGCTCCAAGAAAAGTTTTGAGTTTTCGAAAAACTTCAACTTAAGTCATTTGAGACACTCACAAATGCAGGAGCGCCAACATGTCCTAGAACTATCACATGTGTTATTGAAAAGAGAAGAGGCTGACGTGATGCCCCTCTTGTCTCAGAACGCCCTTTCTCTCTCCTAGATGAAAGGAGGGGTGTTCAAGAGAAAAAAGAAAATAGCGCTCCTAGGTCTGACGTAGCTGATGACGGCAGAGCGTGGGCCACGCGTGGCGATGTGCAATCGCGATTTGGCGACGAAGCACAGAACTGGAGGGGAAAAGAAAGAGGATACAGTACCACGAAATAACGAGAAGAGAACAAAAAACACTAATAGAACAATGTTTTATGGGTAGTCTTTGACGTGAGTGGAGAAAAGGTTAATATGTTTATACGAATCACGTAAATTTAATATCTAGGAGCAAACCAAGGGGGCATCTCAGCATTCGCTAATAAAGATCAGAGAAACTAAAGAAAAAACCTGATCGAGATGGGGGAGTCATTGACCCGCATACTTCTCCCATTCGATCATGCGAGTAGCTAGCAAGCATGGAAGCCCGTTGTCCCAGTTCCATGCGTCGGCGCCGTGGTCCATAAGGATGTCGCCCTCTGACAGTAGACTGCGTGCTGAAGGGCCGTCAGCCCTTACCGGTCCGGCCGGCGTCCGGTTTGAGCGATCCAGTTTTATTATAAACTAATTGCATAAACTACTATTATTCGTCTGTTTGCACAAGACTCCGGTGTTCCGGAGGGTACACTCTGTTTCATAAATATATTTTTTCAAAATATTCTTGAAATTATAATTTTGTTTTATTTTTAGGTACTATAACGTTTGGGGAAAACAAAATATTAAACAGTTTTGCTGATATAAAAATAAGCTGCGCGGCTCTCTACCGACATCTTTTCTTGTCAGGAGAAAAGTTTTCCTTTGTTTTTACTGGAACTTGTAGGTGAGTGATGCAAAATGCATTTTGTTACATTCAGAGTGGTTAGAGACTCGAGTTAAGTGGACAGAATATTTAAAAATTCTACGATTGAGTTGAAACTTGAAGACGTAGCTCTTAGTCTTAACACTATACACAGTGGGTAAAACCTCTGAGTTTAGTGGACAGAATTTAAAAAATGCAACGATTGAGTTGAAACTCGAGAGCGTGGCTCTTCATGTCTTAAAAGATACACAGTGGACCAATAGTTTTTAGGTCTTTTTTAATATGCGACGATTGAATTGAAACTCGAGAGTGTAGCTCTCATAGTATCAAAACGATACACATTGGGACAAAACTTGAGATTAGTGGACACAATTTTTAAAAATGCTACGTTTGGTATGTTTACGCAAAAGTTTACGTTTGGTATGTTTTCCAGTATGAAAATAAAATAGTTCTAAAGGACAGCGTATTCGGAATAATTTGTTCACTACTGTAAGCAACTTATATTCAAATGTATTCTTGTTTGTTTCATTTGTCAATGTAAAAAATGATTGCTGCCCTTGACTATCGATAATGCAGATATGCATCACAGGCGCTTTGTTTGAATTGGACGTTTTCAATAACTATGGTGTTAGTGGCGCAGAATATGCAATCTTTCAATATTAAGTAGCTGTTTCCAATAACGTGAGAATATGTACTGTTGCAGCACCACTAATTTGTTTTTTGCGTAATAACATTTTAATGTTTGATCTTGGCGCAAAAATGGTTATGTACAATTTTATTTATTTATTTTTTTTGTTGCATATTTGCTTTATAAATTATTTTTCTCAAGCAAATAGTAACAGTTTCCTTTTTATTCGGAAGTTGCCACAAATTACTAATGGTCTCCCTAATACAGTACTCTTGAATTCCTAAGGTAATTATAAACAAAAAGCGATTAAATATTAATGTTTTTAATACTTATACAGGCTAAAATCGCGTTTGAAAGTTCTGGTAAGCGTGACAGTAAGCCTTTACGTTCTGCCAACTAAAACGATTTACTTATATCAAAAGCATTTCAATATTTTAAAATGACATTCGTTTCTTGTTATTATTATAATAATAATTTTTGTTGTTATTATTGACAAGAAAGACTGCCCTATCTACAAAGAAATTTTATGCACAAGATTGTGTCGTTTTCTTTGAAACCATCAAGTAGCAATGCGGATGAAAACCGACAATATGAATGGTGTCGGAAAATAACACGCACTGCTAACAAGAATTTGGCCACAGAGCATGGTGCCACCTATCCTGAAAAAGAAATCGAGCAGGCTGCCAAGAAGAAGAGAAGGAAACAAAGGTATATCGTCTAGCTACTGTGTTGATGAGATCATGCAATTTTTGTATTCCTACCGTGACAAATCTGATGATTGTCACTTTCTTTTTGAAGATTTGATAGGCGAATATAGGGAGATTGCCGACCCGAAAGCTGCACAATCTCGCCTCCTTCAAAAGTATGGAGGAGACATTGATAACAGACAGAAAAAGGAACATCTATTGTATGCTTTCGAAATATTGAGTACAAAATATTAAATGTCTTCTTGTATCGAAACAATAAATATATCATCGCAGACACACGTCTCAGAGTCTTAAAATAGCAGGTGACTAATTTACAGGTGTATCAAATAAAGGACTACCTACCAGTCATATCGGTTGTGCCAGATACATTGCCTTTATTGTTTTATGCAGGGACTTTAGAACTCAAGAATGGTGCAATTTACCCATGGATGAAAGAAATGTTTATCGTTGGCACATGACATCGCAAGACATGTCTTTTTTCTCTTCCCTTTTGATAGGGTTTAGCGCATATGTAAACAAGTTTGGATCAAAACTCCTTATTGATATCTTTTTGCTATTGGTTTCGCTTCATCGTACGTTGAAATTTCATTACTTGAAACGTCAAAGTTCTGTTAAATAAAGAACCAAAACTAAATAATTAACCATATCTGTCGTTTCATGTTTGACAAGTCAGATAATAATATGATCACATTGGAAGGTCTAGAAATCAATTTTGGATTAGTATATTTCGCACGACAAGTTTTAGGTACAATCTCAGCATCCCACAAGACAAATTTTTGAAATGACACGACTTCTTTCTTATTCACCACAACCATTCACCTTCCTCCAAACTCCCTTCACATATAAAACACATTCCCACCATACATCCCTAAACGTTATTTATTGGTAACATGCAAATCTCCTGTACAAAAATGGTGGAGAGAGAAAATAATTCAGACCACCATACTAATCTTAGAGTTTGAAGTTCAGAATCAAGCACTTGTCGCTCGGAGGGGAGGCAGATAACCTTTAATTAACTCGGCTCCATCCGGTCTGGCGGTTAGAACATCCTGCCAGTTCAGTCTTACGTTTGATTTGGTGCTGAACGGACGTGTGAGTGAGTTGTATTTTTATGTCAGAAACTGAAACAGCGGTTGAAACTACAATTCACATGCTTTTATTTTCTTGTATACGTACGTATATATGGAGTAATATAGGGAAAGTTACGTAATGCTGTCGAAAATAGTTTTCGAGATTTCAACGGAAATACACGATTTGGGATCCCCACATACCGAAAAAATGTATTTTTCAAAACGTTCGTCCGTCTGTCCGTACATGTGTCTGTCCGTCTGTGAACACTACTAGCGCCTAAACCATACGTAGGATTTTTTCCAAATTGAATACGGCTCTTGAATTGAATCTGGCTCGAGTAGAAACTTTGAGATTTTGAAAAACATTCTTCAAAATTTGGGGGTACTTTACATGAATCCCTCTCAAAACCGCTTAAAATATTTTCTTTAAATTTCTTGGAAAAAGAGATTAACATACACTTATAAACGTGGCAAGGTTTACACGTTATCAAGGTTCATCTTCAAATTTTCGAAAATTTCAAAGGGTGAATTTGACATAAACACCATATTGCTATATTTTTTTCTTTTTTGAAAAATTACAAACATGAAATATATTTGACTTGTCTCTCATGTTGTTAATATTTACTTTATCGGCAACGTGTTCACATTATTGTATTTATGAGTACATGTACTTATAATGTCATATAAAGTTTCTCGAAATATCAACCGTTTTCTGTGAAAACGTGCTCAAATTTCCGCATTTGCAGAAACGCGAAATGACATAAAATTCATTTCGGTGTATTGTTTTAGGGTTTTCAAAAATTACACAAACGTAAATTTTTTGAAAGATATCTCACGCTGTTGAAATTCACATTTCCAGCAATTTGTAAACACTATTGTATATGTGAGTTAAATGTTTCAAATGAATTCTAATGAAGTTTTTTGAAAACTCAAAAAAAAATCGTGAAAAAGAGCTTCAAATCTCTAATTTACATTAGGGCTTAAGCGCCATTTTCTAAAAACGAGCTCAAAATTTTACAACGAAAAATGCTAGTGATGACGAGGTTTTACTGTTGTTTAATTTCTTAAAATAATATTTCCATTCTACTATTAGGAAATCGAAAAATAAGAAAATGTCAAAAAAAGTTTGGCCGGCGATTGATCGCAGCTGGCAAGAATTTGTAGCAAATTCGTATAGCTATCCGAGACGAATAGAAATAGAGAACTAATACGGGAAAGTGTGTGATATTTTGTAGCACTAGTTACTTTCTCATATACATACATAGTATTAACGTACGTATGGCGACGGAAAATCGATTTCGCTATTTCAACGAAAATATACGTTTTGGAGTCCCAGATAACGAAAAATTTGTTTTTTCAAAACGTTCGTCCGCCTGTCCGTCTCTCATCTGTGCAAAACACTAAAGCCTAAGACGTACAGATTTTTTCCATACTGAATAAACCGCTGTCGATCTGGCCTCGCTCAAAGCTCTGCGATGTTGAAGCTCTTTGATTTTCAAAATAGGCTCTAAAATGGCTCCAAATTTGTGCTTTAAATTTCTTGTAAGAATTGCGCGAAATGCACTTATAAAGATGGTATGGGTTTAATTTTCACAGTTTACACTGAATTTTTGAAAATTGCAAAAAATTCAAATTTTTTCTGCGTCTTCCTACAACTATAAAACTGAAGATAAAGATTTTTCCTTCAAATGAAATTTGTTCTACATCATTAGTTCTTTCATTAGAGTCAAGCAGAGATTTTTGAAAAATGTAGTATTTTCGCCAAACATTGCAGTATGTGAAATATTAAAAAGTTAACAAAAACAACTATGTCTGAAAAAACGCTCAATTTTTTTTTAAATTTTTGGTAGGGTAATTGCTAAATGCACTCTATACGATGACATTTTCCTCTATTTTTATCTCTCTCACGTCGTTAATATTTACGTTATTTGTTACGACGTTATTACGACGATTTGTTCACATTAGTGCATTTATGAGTACATATAATTAAAATGATTCCCTATAAAGTTGCTCGAAAACTCAACAGTTTGCTGTGAAAATGAGCTTGAATTTCCGCATTTTATGAAACACTCAAATGCCGTTTTATTAAAAGCTGTTTCAGATTTTTTCTCCGAAATTTTTGTACGGATAGTTCTATTTTCACTGTTTATGATGACATAATAATAATTTTGCTGTATACTTTCGTTTTTCAGAAATTACGTAAATGTATGTTTTTAAATATTTATGACGCCGTTAATACGCACATGTCCGCCAATTTGTAAACGTTATTGCATTTATGAGCAGAAGTGCTTCAAATGACTTCCAATTAAGTTGATCGAAAACTCTAAAAAACGTTGTCTGTGAAATAGAGCCTCAAATTTCGCAGTTACAATGATCATTAAACTTCAAAATATTTTCTCATAAAGGGCTTCAAAGTTTTAAACAAATTATTTTACAGGTCAACCTTTTACTCTTCTATAAGATTCTTCAAGTAATATTTCTGTTCTACGATTAGGAGACCCAGAAGTTGAGAACATTTCAAAAAATATACTTTGGGCAGCGATAGCTAGTGCTGAGGTGGCGAGAGTATGTGGCAAGAGCGAAAAGCTAGCTCTGATCAAAGAAATTAGAAAGCTAACTAGTACGAGAAAGTTATTATGTAGAACCACTAATTACTTTGTCGTATACGTACTTGCTCGTATACGTATACGAAGTACTCTATACATAGTACTCGTAGTACCCTTATACACAGTATAAAGGAAGTTATGAATGCTGCAGAAAATCGATTTCGAGCTTTTAATGGAAATACACGTTTTGAGGCCCTTTAGACCGAAAAAGTGTTGTTGTTTGTTTGTGTTTTTTTTTTTCTTCAAAACGTACGTTCGTTCTTCTGTCTGATGTATATGAACAATATTAGCGCTTTAACTACAAAAAAAATATAGAGTTTTCCGTAATATAAAATTTGTTGTCCATAATTAGTTCTTTCATGAAGTTCATGTACATTTTTTTGAAAATTTTACTAGTTTTCGCACTATTTTGAGTGCAATATTTAAAAGTAACGAAAGTTTTTTTTCAAAAAGCTCCGAATTTTTTTCTTTCAACCTTTGTTAGGGATAGTGATAAATGTGTAGAGGTCATAAATGCCATTCTGCTCTTTTATTTGTTTTTTTTTCTTCAAAAATTACAGAAATGTAATTGTTTTGACTTGTCTCTCACGTCGTTAATATTTACATAAGTGGCGATTTGTTAACTTTTTTTCATTTATATGTACACATCATACAAATGATGCCTAACAAAAGGTATTCGAAAATTCAAAAGTTTTATGTGAAAAAGAGCTCAAAATCCGCTTTTTCAGGAACATTCATATGCCATTTACTCAAAAACGGCTGCATATTTTTTCTTCAAACTTTACCTACAAATAGTGCTAATTGTGCTATTTATGATGACAACATTTTTTTTCTGAATTTTTTGTTTTTTCAAAAATTACACAACTGTATTTTTTAATACCTCTCACGCCGTTAACATGCACATTTTCAGCTACTTTTATACATTGTTACATTTGTGAGTGGAAATGCTTCAAATAATTTCCAAAGATGTTTCTGAAAAACTCAAAAGTTTTCTATGAGAGAGAACTTCAACTTTCGCATTTAAAGTTAATTTGAACAACATTTTTTAAAAAGGCTTCACACTTTTGAACCAAAATTTCCATATAGGACGAGGTTTTACTCTTCTTTAATATTCTTAAAGTTATATTTCGGTTCTACCAAAAGGAAACCGAAAAATTGAGGGGAAAAAGTACTTTGGATACGACAGGGCAGGACCGAAAAGTTAACCAAGACCTGATAAATTAGAAAATAAGTAGCACGAGAAAGTCTGTGCCATTCTGTATCACCGCTAATTAATCTTTTATTATATCAACTATCGCAAAGTTTCAGAGAAAGTATGAAGTAACTAATATTTCTTATAATCGCAAAATCTTCAGTCTAAGAATAGGTCGTCTTTTTATCTGGTCCCACCTGCATTGCGGGTTTTGCGGGCCCGAACGTTTCGACATTGGATCACTGTGCGTCTGGATCGTCAACTGCTGTGAATTGCATGGCGAGGAGCAGTGAAGCAAGAGACGCGGGGGTGACTCACTCACCTCTGGCCGGGTCACATTTCTTTGCAATGAAATTTCTCAGAAAGGTTCGCAGGCAGTTGAAAAATAAGTGACAAGTAAATTGCATCAAGCTTTCTTTGAAATGAATTGAGAAGCATGAAAGATTTTAAACATCTGAGGAAAGAACATTGGAAAGAACATCTGGAAATAACATGGGGCTGGGTTGACGTAGACCGACCGAGCCCTCACTTTCGGGTTCAGATGAGAAAATTGAAACAGTAGTGAAAAATTTAAAATGAGTTTAGCAAGTCAAACTTTGATTATCCTGACTGAAATTTTAAACGTTTGCGCCATGCACTGGCAAGATCGCAGTGCTGACTATTGCACTGTTTTCCTGAGTGCATTCATTAGGTAGTGTCTAGAAGGGTAAATAAGGTTCGTTAATGGGTTAATCATAGTAAAGAAAAGGTAATTGCGCAAACAGCAGTTTTCCATTTTCAACGTGCCTCAAAACATCGATTTTTATTACACGACTTATACGAGAAAGTTATGTACTACGAACACGAGTAAAAAAATATTGTGATTTTTCTCTGTGTCACACACCGAAACGTACATTTCTGTCGAACAAACGGCTCTCTATACTACGAGGGATATACGAGAAAGTAAAAATACAATATACGTAGGTACATAAAAATTTAGTAAACCTCGTGTCTGATGAGACTCCAGTTAAAATTTCTCCCGTATCTAACTGCGAGTGTACAAACATCGTGTTCCTAAAAAGCTTCTTACAACTACTCCATTATCTACGTATACTGATACGGACATAATTACGAGCAAAGCGCAAGATTAAGTACAGTCTCCTACACTAATGTTTAGATTAAGTTCGACCTTTGAGAATTGGCTACCAGCTATACGTAGCCATCGCTCTCCACTGGCTGGCTGAAAAACTGATGTGATAACTACATAAATTCAGAGATAAAATGTAAGGAAGGATTTGATTCCATCGTTTGACACATCCAGTAGCAACAAAGTAGTAACTAACGTGTGCCAGGAAAGTCTCTCCACACCCAGCTGGGGCAGAGCCTCCTACCAGAAATCGTATTTATGCGTGTAGCAACCATATCACTTGGACACAAGTGAAGGGGACAACACTTACAGCCTCTGTGATGTTTGTGGCGAGTACTCAATTTACATTTTCTTTTGTTTCAAGCTGCAGCTCGTGCTACCAACATCATTTCGTTTGCTACAGCACCCTCAAGAGGAAGGTGCCACTGCGGAGAGACTTTCCAGGCGCACTGTATAACAACTACAACATACTACGTTACTTAAATTGACTCCAAAACAACTTCCGAGGTAACAAGAGAAGGTAAACTTGGGGTCATTTGAAACCTATTTATACTTCTCCCCACATCAAACGTGGTATATTATTGTACTCTAGCAAGTTGTTACTTTATGATGTGTTTTCTTTTTTAGATCTGAAGATATGACTAATGAACTTCACTATGCGGCTTCGTTCAAATCAGCGGAAGAAGTAGAAAACTTTTTACTGCGGGGATACGATGTAGACCTCCCAGATGAACGTCGACGTACTGCTTATCTAAGAGCAGCTTTGTCTGGAAAGGTTGGGATAGACAAAATCATTTACGTAATTTTCTGCGAAACACGAATTGGTACTATTCTATACTGCTTTCTACGTCGTGCAGGCACAATGTGTCTCATGGAAAATTTGCTTTTGTTGCCGACACATGTTTGCGTGCCCGCTCGCTCGAAAATCGTCAAAATCTCGGCTTTCTCAATATATGTGTCAACTGAAAAAAATTGTTTATTTGCACTCTGATTATTATTATTATTATTATTATTATTATGTTTTTATTATTATTATTATTGTTATTATTATTATTGTTATTATTATTATTGTTATTATTATTATTATTATTATTATTATTATTGACGTAATGTTTATTAGCGTAAGTACCTAATACACGAGGACCAATTTCATGAATTGTATTCATTATTTACCCTTATAAAACGACAAAAATATTTTCGTAAATTTTTGACTGAGCCGTCAAATATTGATTAATTAATTTACATGATAAACGATACACTGAGGCTTACGTTTATCCAACTTTCATCTGAGAACGCTGTTCTTTTTCTCATTTCTAAACTGTTGCATTTTTCGTAGATACGAACGTCGCCAGAATATCATTTCTTTCTGTCATTAGAGCATTTTTTCTCGCCTTTCAAATTCAAATCCCATTTCTATTAATAACCGATAAATTGTAAAATATTTTAATTTTGGTAAATGTTTAACATTAACATATTTTATTACATACACGATTGTTGCAGGATCAATCCTAAATAGAAGCATAAATTTGAGACGTAACTTATGTACAAAATTGTCATACAGTAGAACCCCGGTAATCCGAACTAATTGGGGTGTGGTCTTGTCGGATTCGGAAATGTACCGTCCATAATACATCTATACGATTACCAGACAATGCAACGTAGTGTGCGATGTGAGAAAATGGCAACGTAGTTTAGCGATCGAATCATCAAGAAGACACACTTTCTAACGACAAAAGATTACCGATTTTGCAAGTTCCTCTAAGTGAAAATTACTGTTACATAAACATGTGATATCCGCAGTAGTTACAGGAGCAATAAACGTTTCATTTCAATAACTTCAATATTTAGTTGTTTAATTCTACTATAATTATAAAATATTTTCTTTTCACTATAAATAAGCATTTTATTTATTTTGTTTATTTTTCCTTCATCCCAAATTTCGAATTTGCGGGGTTCGGATTAGGGAAGTTGTAATGTACTTCCCTTCTATTTTACTATTCTATATTTCAGTCTTCTTCATTTTTTTCGAGTTTGTTATTTCTCCATTCCCATTTTTCTTTTACATCCTACAGAAGAAAAGTCTGCTGATGCCTGTTGCTCTGAAAAATTCATTCACACAATTGACTACTATATTTTCTTTCAAGTTCTCGAGTACTTTTGAAATTGTTTTTTCACCAGTTTTCATTATTTCCCCCTTTTCTCTGTGATCCATTTTGTTCTCTTAATATTAACATACTACACGATCGAACAACTACGTACCTTCTTTTCTTTACCACTGCATATCCACCATCTTCATTCACATCCACAAGCAAAAATCTATGATTTATAGTTGCTCAAAAACATAACAGACGTCTATGAAAATTACCTCAAAATTCCGCCTTTTCTGAAACGTTCGAACGCAATTTTCTGGAAATCGGCTTCAAATTGTGTCTTTAAACTTTTTTGAATGGGTAGTGTTAAATTCACTGAATATGATACCAATGCCAAGTCAATTTATTCTTTCTTTTTTCCCCAAAAATTACGCAAATATATATATATATATATTATATAATTATATATATTATTTAGTAATATAATATAATATATATATAATACTATCTCTCATTCCGTTATGACTTCGTTAGATACATAGATATATTACCAGCGATTTAATACATTATTGAATTTGTGACGTACAAGTACCTCAAATTATTTCTTATGATGTTTCTTGAAAATTTTTGGATGAAAATGAGTTTCGAAATGCGCTTAAAAGACGCTTAAACGATATTTTGTTAAAACTGCTCCAAATTTTTCAATGACAAAGTGCATTGAGAACCAGTTTTTACCCATCGATATTATTCTTAAAGTCATATTTCCATTATGTATATAAATTATTCTAAAGTCATATTCCTAATAGGTATCCGAAAACTTCAAGAACAAAAAAAAAAAAAATTAAGCGCCAATAAACCCCAGGTAAAAAGAGGGTGGGGCAAAATCGAACACAGATGAAGAGATAAATTCTCATTAGTTCGAGAGTCTGTGCCCGTCTGTAGCAGCACTAGTTTTTGGGTTGATTGATTGATTAGCAATTCCGGGAGCATGAACTGCTAAAGTCATTAGTCGCGTAAGTGTAGTGCATGTTTTATCGGATGTTTATCCTTAGTATCTAACGGAACCAAAAGCACCCCCAGGGGTGGACAATATTTAAATACTTATATTTGAAATAAGTCTTTTAAGTACATTTTGTATTTGAAAAACTATTTTTCAGTTCTTTTATCGTGTATTTTGAAGATATATTTAAAATCATATAATAGATGTATTTAAAAAAAAGAAATACCTAAATACAGATGAAGGAGATAAGAAGGATAGTTTCTTTTTATTTGATTCCCCTAATAACTCATTGAAACAAAAATAAAAGCTTCTTTCAGCTGTTGAATTTGAAATTTCGTCATTTTTAAATAATAAATATAAATAATTAAATATACTGAACAGATATTCGACGATAAAAAACGTGTTTATTCTTTATAACACTAGTTTATGTTCATTCGCTTCAGTTGAACAACAGTTTTCCTTTGCACATTTTATACATTCCCCAACTAGGGGTTTATTGCCTGAGGAGTTGTTTGAAAAATTAGTCGTTTTAAAAGGAAATATCGGTTTTTTGCAGTGATATTATTATAATTGAAATATTTTATACATATTTACAATACATTACAGCAATCTGAACATTACTTAAGTTATTGTTAAAAAAATTATGATTGTCAATTACTAATTTACTGTAATTGACAATTCGAATATACTGTTACAATAAAAAATATAATACAAAATTTTATTTACTGTACTTTGAGTATTTGAAATATTTTAAATACGTATGTATTTAGCAAAACAATACCTAATATATTTTGAGTATGTATATATACTTATTTACAAAGTATTTTGACGAAGTATTTCAATACTAAATTTAAGGTTTTTTGCCCAACCCTGAGAACTCTTCAAATGTCTGGAGACTATATTTATTTAGATTTATATTCATTTAGTCAAAAAACAGTAAAAATTGTATGTGACGTACGGGGGAGTAGATCAAGTTTTCTTGAATTCCAGAATCCCTTCCGATCATTTTAACTATAAATAGTTTAAAGATGAGTAAACGTTAAAGATATATAAAAAATGATAATAAAATTTTAAAAAGTGCGAGATAAGCAAAATCTGAAAAACTAGACATTTTGTTCCCGAGTTATAGAAAACTTATTTGCCACGGTAAACGAATTACATATTTGATTTTTCTGCATTTCTAACAAAATAGTAACTCGCCCTTACTTCTACAGGCAAAAGGGGAGCTCAAAAAAAAAAAAAAATGCGAATAGTGAAGTTACATTTACGTCCGACTTCTAAGTTTTCTTTTAATATCTGGAGGAAGTTGAAATTAGTAATGTAGGTAATAATAGTGTAGTAATAGTAACAATTAGAATAAGAATATTCTTAAAATATGTTACAGGTTTCCGTGTTAGTAATACTGGAAAAATACAACGCAAATATAACAGCCACTGACAATTATGGCCGTTCAGCTGTACATTTAGCGTCAAAAGAAAACAAGAGTGAAGCCCTTATACATCTATTGAAAGTAGGTGCCGACGCTACAGTGAAAGACGATTGGTGTCGCCAACCTTTACATTTAGCTTCTCTTAAAGGGGCGATGGAAACGCTTAAGATACTTTTTGACCATTTAAAATGCATAAAAATTGAGGAGCCACTTCAGTGTGTTGACAATTATGAAAGAACACCTTTACATCTCGCAGCTAAGGAAAACAAGACAAATATTATTCAATACTTGATAGAAAATGGGGCTGATCCAAAAGCTCCAGACAATTATGGTCGATTACCTCATCATATAGCAGCTTTACACGGACGTAAAGACGCGCTGAAAATACTTTTGAAATTTGTTGACATAAATTGTGTAGATAAGTGGGAACACACGGCCTATTATCTGGCTGTTTACTATGAACATACAGAAGCTGCGAAGTTTCTGTTGGAAAATGGGGCTGATCCAGAGGCTGGTTTATGGTTAGGCGGTGGGATTTGAAATAATTATAATAATAATGTAGGTTGGTTCATGGTTTGACTATGAGATGAGAAATAATAATTATACAAATAATGACCACTAACAATTATTGTAAGTGTACCTTTCACTGATTCATTAAATAAATAATTAAATCTTCTACGACATTGATTCCCATCTCGTTCGGATGGATTTTCATCCAGTTTTCTTTGATCCAATGAGCATATGCTGATATACCCTTTCCTGGTTTTGATTATGAACAAAAAATATCACAAACTGTTTATGTCAAATAAATATTTCGAAAACAAAATGTCATTTCAAGTGTGAATTAACACACACCAACGTCACATTCATAATAGTATTAACAAATTCCTACATCACTTTGATCTCAGAAGTACGGATTCTACTAGATTTATTGTTTTTCTGTGTTTTTTTTTCTAATTTCGTTGTAGCTTCTTTACCTATCTGAACCTAGTCCAGATTCGTCTGTCGACTCGAAGTGAAGAAGTCAATGCGATCAATTGCGCACCATGAATCAGAAAAGGAGCGGTGCGATTTCTGGACTTTGGACTCCGCACTCCCGCAGCCGTAGGCAGCTTTGCACCGCGCTCCGATTCATAAAAATAATCATATAGGAGTTTCTTTTCACACAATGGTTCAAATATTGCTGGTAATGACTAAATTTCGTGATAATAAACATTTTCAGGGGGTACGAATATTTCTCTGAGGACATTCTTTTCATTACCAACTATTTTGTTTTTCTTCCAGTGATTTTGACGCTCTCCACTGTCCCATAAAGATAGAAAACCAGGGTATATGGTGCAATGAAAGCGCAGGGGAAAAAACAAAAAGTACTCACGGAACAGAGAGATACACCTGAACATAATATTAATAAACTTTTTAAAAGACCTGAATTACTTGGGGATGCGTCACATCACTTGCATCCATTCAGCCTACGCCACTGGTTTCACTGCGCTATGCGTGGTAAGACCTGACTTCACGCATGGTTCCATTCCCCTCCACCCCACCCCCGCTGCAGAGCCGATTGCAGCCTGCAACCGGGCAAACTGCCGAGACCAACAATACGGGAAAGTCAGATGCGGGTCGCCGAAATAATGGAAATATGGTTCGCAACCATATTAAAGGTTTTAGTTGTGGCCTTTGCGGCCTTGCTAGTTGGACATCCCTCAGATAGAGGGATTGAAGAAGCGAAAGGAGGGGGAGGTACGGAAGAACAGAAGCGAAAAAGCGAATTGAGAGAAAGGAATAGGAACAGGCAGAGTGCAAGGAGCTGGATGCCTGAGACAGGGCGCATAAGGTTGGGGGGGGGGCGAAGAGTTTTAATAAACATCAACTTGGTAGATATTTATCTTGATTTTTTTTCGGCCTCCTAGCTGTGGCCCCAGTACACAGTATCACATTTTTTACCACTGATTTCATGAACAATTTTTTTCAAAATATTAGTATTTTCACGTAATTTTGAGTTACATCATAGTACGGTCGGTAGGTACACAATTAGCTTGAGATATTGTATATAATTTCACCATATACTAATGTAATAAGTTGTAATAAAAATGTTATTTGTAATCCCGCTAATTGTGTAGGTAAGGTGGCCACTTTTTTTACAATGAAAAGGACAAAAACTTTTAAGAATACAAACACACTAATTATGCTTACATCCCTTTTAATTATTGTGCTGCAGATAGAGTATCAACCAATAATACTAATTTCTCTCTTGCCCAAAAATCTGACACTCTTCGCGGAGATGGATTTGGTGTGGACGGCCCGGATTTGTATCCCGTTTCCTAGAAGGACAGGGGGGGTAGGTCAAGGAGTAGTTGAGGATTGAGACGGATTATTTTGTTAAAAGTAGAATAGTTGAAAGGGTATGGAAAGAAAAAAGGAGAGAAAGAACAGAGAGGATATTTTATTAGAGGTTTGGGAATGTAGGAATTAAGTAGGAAGTTTTTTAGAGGGGTTGTTTTGTTGAGGGTTTTATCAGTCTTAGCGTTCTATGAGTCTTAGTTTCTTGGATAATTTTAGGTCGGAGGGAGAAGAAGTTGAAAGATATCTAGGGGGTGCTTTTTTCAGAAATGACGGGGAGGGGAGTTGAGAATGTGTTGGTGAGGTTGAATGAGATTAGAGAAGATGGGATTGTTTATGAACTGCTGCACCGTGTTGAGGGATGAGTTAAAAATATATTGGGGAAGTGAATGAATGTTGTGCTGAGTTCGGAAGATGTTGTAATTTTGGCCGGGAAGAGGACGAAAAATAAGGCGGGTGACGCGATTTTCAAGAATTTTGAGGTGTTTATATGAGGAGTGGGGGATTGTTGACCAAGTGGAAGAGGTATAATGATGGATTTGATGTGAGTATAATACAGGAAGAGTTTTTTGTTGATAGAAAGTGACGGATGGCGAAGGATTTTTTGAATGAAGTTGATTTTTTGATTTACTTTGGAAATGGTGTTGAGATGGGGAGTCCAGGTAAATTTTGAGTTGAATGTGATGCCGAGATATTTTATTTCTGAGTACCAGGGGATAGGGGTGCTATTGATGGTGACAGGTGGGAAAGGTCGTGGGCAGTTTCGCCAGATGATGATGGCTTGGCGTTTAGAAGGGTGGTGTCTCAGGGCCAGTGGGAAATTGTATGAGCTGTATTTTGACGATTGTTGATAGAATATTGAGAAGAACGATGGGGTAAGAGAAGGGCCAAGTCATCTGCGTAAAGAAATTGCTGAATGCCATGACAAGAAGGAAGGTCATTGAGATAGGCTGAATAGAGAGTAGAAGAAATAACTGCACCTTGTGGAACTCTCGCTGAGATGGGGTAGAGGGGGAAAGTGTGAGAGATATTTGGTTTTGAAAGTTCTGTGAGCTAGATAGTTGAATAGGAGATTTAGAGCAAAAGTTGGAAGATATGATTTTAATTTGAACAGAAGAATTTGGTGATTGATGTGTGTCAAAAGCAAAGGATAGGTCAGTGAAAAGAGCAGGTGCCTGACGAGTTTTATGTCGAAGTTCTGTGTCGATATTTATGGCAAGGTGGAGTGTTTGAAGGACCGATGATCGGTCAGAGCGGAAGTTGAATTGTGAAGGGTGAATGTGGGGTGAAGGTAGGAGTTCATGAATTTTAGAAGATTTTTTTCGAACAGTTTTCCAGGAATACAGAGGAGGCTGATAGGTCGATAGTTTGTGGGTTGTCTGAGGTCTTTGCGGGGTTTAGGAATCATAGTGACAGTGGTGGTTTTCCAAAGGTTGGGGAAGTAAGGACACCTTCCCACACCGCCACCGCAGCGCGCGTCCGTCAAGACTCTCGCTACGCGAAGCGGAGGAAGGCGTACGTCTCACCGCTAGCGGACACTGCCTTTAAATGGTAGGCTTCCCACTGCGACCGCCAGTCGCGGCGTTTTACCTGCTGCGGTTCCTTTGTTCGTCGCCGGAGCGTCGGCGAAGAGCCCTGCCGCTTGAGGGGCGCGCGCTGCCGTGGCGACGTGGGAAGGCGCCCTAAGCGGCTTGACGACAAGCATTGAAGATTAAGGTTATGTGGGAGATTGCATTTAAAGTTAATTTTTTAAGATAGGAGGGGTATATTTTGTTGGGTCCTGGAGCTTTGTGGGTTTGAAGAGCTTTTATCGCCTCAGTGATGTCATTGTTGTGTATAGTCCACGTGGTTTGTCTTTCAGAGGGTAAGGATGGGTTCGTATGAATTGAAGGATAGCGGAGTCTGGGATGCGAGTGTTGGTGAAGGTAAAGCAGGTAGTAAGGGTGCTCGCAAAAATGTTTATTTCTTGTGGATTGTATGTAAAGGAGTTGTCAGGAGGGGGGATAAATGTGAATTCTTTGGTCGGATGGATTTGATTAGGGTACGTAGTTTGTCGGGGTTGCCTGTATTAGCGTCCTATATATGATCGTCGAATTTTGTTTTGTCAAATAATGTTAGTCTGCCTTGGAGTTGCTGTTTTAGTACAGCGTTAGTAGTTTTGTCAATTTGTAATAGTGTCCTGTAGTAAAGGTTTTGGGCTTTTCGTTTTTCTCTTAGTAGGAGTAGGATGTTGGGAGATAGGGTGGGGTGAAGGTTGATGAACTATTGAAGGCTTTCTTGATGTGATGGTTGAAATGTGAAATGTCTGAGTCAATTTCTTCTGGGGTAGATATAGAAGTGGGGGAGTGGATCTTTCTTGAAATATGGCGTTTTAATTGTGACCAGTTGGTTTGGATGATTGAGGAGAGGTGTTGGGTGGAGTATACTATGTGTACGTATACGAAGTGATGAAATTTGGGATGTTGAAAGGAACGTGTGCTTTAAGGAAAGTTCCCTGAATGAAAAGAATGCTGATAGAATAGTATGAGAGAAATTGGTTAATAGAAAGTTTCTTAGTGATGGGTTCCCGTTGGAGTTCCAAGTGCTTAAGATGAGTGGGTGAAAAGAAGAAGAGGTTTTAAAAATGTTTACAGAGTTTGCATCCAACGGAGATTAATTTGGACAGTGTCGGAGGAGGATTTCAAGATGTGAATAATTTCCTTAATAGTTTGGAGAAGCTTGGAAAGATTACAGGATTTTATGAGGGTGATGTGTTCTTTAAGATCTGGACGGTGGAGGTGGATGACGATTCAGAGTTAGGTGGTAAGGGGTTTTGTGATGGAGGGTTTGGTGTTGTAAGGAATTGCGACTACGATCTGTTGGGGAGGGATGGGAATGAGGATTGTTGAAGGTTATTGGTGTTATTGTTACTGGAAAGGGATTGTCTTAGTGTCTGATTTTTTTTTTTTTAAATTTTGACTTCCCTATATTGTTAAAAATGTATGAGGGTAGAACATTGGGGTCATTGGCAGGGTGTCCATTTGTGCAGTTGATGCATAGGGTTTGAAATGAGGTCGGGATTGGTTAAGGCATTTGTCAGTAGGATGGGGTTGGGCACAGTAGCAACAGGTAGGGGTTCTATGGTATGGTTGAACACACTGATCTGAACACACCAATCTAACACACTGAAGCTGAAACTACTGAAAACGGTGAGAATTCTGATCTAGCAACACTAATCGCATCTTTCCGTACTGTACCGTCACACGATGCGTAGCATCTCTGAATACAGAGATTAAAATATCAGTTTTAAAATATCGAAAAGGAGGACAGGTAGGAGGGCACTTTTCAAGGAAGGGCAGAACCTACAAAAGGAGGACTGTCCTCCCCAAAGGCGGGCGATTGGTCACCTTTGAATAGGCCTACTATTCAAAGGTAGAAAAAAATGCCTTATGAACAAAAATTATATTAATTTAATTAACTGAGCATTAAATGAAGTTTTATTATGAATGCTCTTATGATAATTTATGAAGTGGTATGTCAAGAGACAAATAGAACAACACATTGTGTACTGAAGAGGGAGGTAACGTCCTTCCCTCCAGTTCCATTTTTTTATTGTTTTACTCAATTAATTCAAAATAACTGTCATATATTGATAGCATCACATTCCAAAGGAATGTTTCCACTAAGTCCGACATCATTTCAAGAAGAAATTTAATTTAAAAAAGTGCATTTTTCATTTCTTTTAAAAACAAATTTTAAGAATGGGCTGATCTATAATTGGTCACAGCAGTATGCAGTCTTAGCAAATAGTGCATGCATGGAGCCAAGAAACAGTCGCAGGACAAAGCCATGCATGGAGAATGTTTGCCAACGTTCTATGTTCATAATGGGACCTTCTGTCAGAATTCAGCATCATGTGAGGCAGCCTCCATATGAAACTTTCCGGAGATTCATGAAAGATTTCCTGAGACAATGCAAGAGAAGAGGGAATGAGACTTATGTGAGCTTGTATTAAGAAATGCTTTAACTGATAACACAGAATATATCACAATAATGAAATGTTTGTTTTATATTTCCGGATGAAAAATACTTATGAAAACTGTTAATAATTAATATTGTAAAATACATAAAGGAGAAAAATGTATTAAACTAGTACACATCACGATAGGCACTACCTTCTTTGCCTACCCTAACGAGCCCAAACCGCAAAACTGTTCCATCAGTTGAAATATTGTTTTCATCCATTTTCATTTCACCATTCACTTATCATTTTTTCAATTTCCTTTTTATCTTGAGCATGTTTACATTCATTGAAACTTAATGAAATGCAACTTCTTTGGAGAACCAAGAATGACAAGGTGTTTCTTCAATTGACTCGTTTACTTCATAAACCCGTCAAACACCAAAATATAAAACAAGCTTTAGCGACGGATTATTGTTCCAGGAGGATAGACACATTGTTTAGTGCGTATTTACACAAAAAATATTTATCAACTCCTTTAATAAAAAAAAAAAAAAAAAAATTTTAAATCTGAAAAATTGAGAGACTAATTCTCAGTTTTCTCGAAATGGAGAATTTGGTGTTTGATGGGTTTCTGAAATAAAAGACTCAATTGTAGAAAGTACAAATTACATTTCTAAATTCCAAGGAGCACGTTTACTTTAAACTTTCTTCTACTATTCTCCAACAAATTTTAATTTATTCCTCGAAGGACCAATTCATTAATTGTGGAAAATTAGTACATTTTGGTAGAAAACACATTAGGTAATACAGGGGAAATTAGGGAAGGGATATTCGAAGATAGATGTGGAAACAAGATATTCACCACAATGGCATGAGATCATCCGAGAAGCATGAAGAGCATGCGAAGGCATCATTTGTAAGCGTTAAAAAATAAAAAAAAACTTTTGTTGAAAGCTAAATAAATTAGACAAAATGTTGGCTTTTGGATGCTGTAAAATTATTTTTTAATTATCAAAACACGAGAACATTCCATCATGTAATCTACGAGTTCCATGAAAAAAGTACTAGTAATTGTTCAATTAAAATCAATACAACTGAAGCTTATATATTTCAAAAACTACTAACAGACAAAGTAAGCCTATCCTTCAAAAAAGTAACCTTACTAGAAATGTTCTGGTTTGGACAGTCAAACATTTTAAAAATTCCCTTGATGGGTTTTCTGAGAAAATCTGTGTATCATTAAGTAGTTAAATTGGCAGTAGAACACTTTTTCCAAAAATTGTTTCCTTTGTAACAGGGCCTCCTCATGCATTTTCTTTGAAATGTCAAATTCAAATAGTTGCGCAAGACACTCAATTGTAAAATGAATTCCCTTCTTATGAATTAAATACAGAAAAATAATAAATAAAAAAATATAAGTATTCTTGTTACCAAAGAATTTGATTTAACTTCCCTTGTTCTTCTAGAGTGCTTAATTTCCCTTCTTGAACACAACAGCAAGTTAATTTCGAGAATTTGAAAAACTAAGTATGACTAGATCTGTCGCAAACATCACATACAAGGAATATTTAACAAAGTGTTAAACATTACCGAGGAACACTTGACGAAATGCGAGACACATTTACAGCATGCTTGAGAAATTTGCAAAGGGTGAACTTGATAGTATTATAAATACTTAACTTAAAAATAATAATAATAATAATAATAATAATAATAATAATAATAAGCCTTAATTTAGAATTCAGGGTTTGAATTAAATTTTCAACAACTCATTTCCGTCAATCAAGTTTTTAATAAAAAATAACTTTCTTTAAATAAGGATGCCGATGTAAAACCAAGTGAATTCCATGGTGGCAGCAAAGATATGGTAGTAATCCATAATGATTAATTAAGGATTGAGGAGGTATCAACCACAAAGAACATTACAATATAAATTTAATTCATAGTATTCTATATGACATACAACCATACATACCAACATTCTAGATGACACTGACTAAATCCATGATGTTTGGATCCACTGAAGATGGAGAAAAAATAGTTCTAAAACACATGTATGGCTGTTTATTCTTTGTATTAAATTTGTGTTTTAACATACTTTGTGGTTGATACCTCTTTGATAATTAATAATCATAAAAGCAAGTAATAAAAACAATTCAACCAGTTTGAAATGTTGATTGTTACAGACCAATTCCTTCCTAATGAATGAAAATGTTAATATAACTTAATTGTGATATTTTTTTAAATTTCTTGATGTTCCTTTTTGCCATCTTGTATTCACTTTCCCCACTTTTTTGGGCATCAATAAAATGAAATTTTAACTTGAAAATTAAGTGTATATACTACATTTGAGAAAGTATCAGTAGTAACTGAAAGTTGTGATAACATGGCAGTTAATGAAACGTCAATAAATGAGTGAAAAATGTAATATTTATCTCTATTTACATCAATATATATATATATATTTTTTGTAGTACCCTATTAATACAAACAAGGTTAATTTTACACTCAAGGATACCGCACACAAGCAATGCACACACTGGAATACAGATGAACCTATAATCAATACATATTTTTAACAGTAACAGATCCAGGGCTGCAATTCAAAATTTCAAAAAATTCACTTAGAACTTCAGGAAATAAAACAAGAAGAAAAGCTTAAAATCATCCAAAAATATTACAGTATGATAATTTTGAACAGAACCTCTTTATATTACAAAGAAATGCTCTTCTGAGATAAGGATACTTTGATAAGAGCCATTAAAACACGACACTAAATTTTAATATTATTACTAAGGGAATTGATTGCAACACATATTTCATGTACAAATCAGGAAATAATGTTCCTATGTACAAAATATATCACAATATTAGATAGCTGTACTCCTGGCTGCCGTTTTCTCTCTCTTTCACTCACTCTCACACACACACACACACTGTCCCTAAATAATTTAAACTAAACACAGCCATTAAAACAGTCCAATAATTTGGAATCTATAAGATTCCACACAGAGGTATGTTTCACACTAAACAAAAAAATTGCATCTTGACTAGTACATAAAAACATTTTGACTACCAAACATAAACAACATTCACATTATTTAACATAATATTCCATAAAAACCCACAATTCTCAGCTCAGAATATCATACATATTCACAAACATATGGCCAAATAAGAAATGAAATTCAGAGATAATGCCCTCTAATAAACTAAAAAAACAAACACAGGGCATAAATAGAATACACACAAGACCAGAGCGAATTTTAAATTCATTTTTTTTATAACAATGAATTATGGCATTCCATTTCAAAGCACAAAACTCAGCACAAGATTATCATACAATGTAAGACAAGCACACTTGTATGTCATGAGCATTGTAGGAAACAAGCAATAGTTCTCACTACTTATTGGACTGGCGAATGGTGTTATAAAGTACACAGAGGCAGTGTGGCCACAAAGGAAAGAAAATAAACTGTCTCCTATTCTATGATTATGAGAAAATAACAAGATCACATACATTTCACAATCTTCTCACATGTTTGTTTTGAAGGCACACTACAACTGCAACTACTGCTATAGCTATTTAAAACAGGTGAGTGCACCATATTGTACAGAATTTCATTGTAGTTAAAACACCATTTGTTCATTGGTAACATAAATCTAAATTACTACAAAACAACGGCTTATAATTTGAATCAGATCAAGGTTTCCTTGAAGTGATAAAGCATGATGTATACATGTTCATTTCAAAAAGCAATATATACTTAAAACTTTTTGCACTTTGTCATTTCCTTTTTATCTAAATCTACATATGGTGATCTTTCTGATTATTTTAAATATTCTCATGACTTAAGAAAATATTGTTTCCTCCTTGAAGAAATACATATTTAAAGATTGTAAAACACAGATCAAAATTATGAAATATTAGTATTTGCTTACTCATTTGCATAAAAGTAAAAAAAAAACAACATGAAAGTTCAATAAATCTGAATATGACAAAGCAATGACTAAAGATCCAGATCTGAAATCTTCACTCTAAAAACATACTATCAGTAGAGTAATTTACTTTCTAGTACACCATATCAGAACATATGAATGCCATAAATAGTTCACTGAATAAAAGGAACATTCCTTTAGAAAAGGAACTCTCAACAAAAATGCCATGATATTTCAATGTCCAATATATCTAAGATTTATCCCAGATATAATTTACAATGATTATTGGAATTATTTACACAGACACACACTATCTACACAAGGACTTTATAAAATACAGAAAGAAATCTTGCACCATTGTTTACCAATTCATCATTTGCAACTTACTCATGAAATCAGTAACAGTTTCAAAGAATTTTCATGTACAAAGGTTCTCCATTGTAAATATAATGTCTTTTTTGAACTTCAGAATCTTCATATAAAATGTATATTTATATAAAACAGGTTTCTTTTCCCAAATACTCCCAAAACAATCTCAGTTCAAATTTCATATATCACACTAATTCACAAACACACTTCTTTGGCTTTCAAAACCTATTTCCTGATTAAAATAAGTTGGGTATAGGCACATATAGATTTCAATACTTATTTTTTATTCACATATTCTCCTAATAAAATAAATATGATACTATCACATGTAGAATCGCTATAGATCAATGATAGACAGCTAAGTTTATTTTAGTCTTGTGAATGCTCCCATGAAAATGCTCTGGCATCTCATGACAAACACATTTTATAACCAGACCATATGCTTTGATCTGTGTTTTCAATGGCAATATTTAAGTGTTCTGTAAGTGGTCAATTGCATTATTTTAATCAGATGATATTGCTGACTAACTATTAAATTTCTTTACTATTTTAAAACACTGGATTACTGAATTCTTAAATATAAACTTAGATAAATTTGGTTTTATAACTAAAAGAAAAAAATATTTTTGTCAGTAAATTGATAATATTAATAAAAAATATAAACATTTGCTGCAGGAGTCACTTTGTTCTTCAGGAAGTGACTTTTTGGAAGGGATACATGATTTCTTTCTAGAATAATTCTTCTCTTACAAAGACTAATTGATATGCACAAGGCATTATGTTGAAATTTGAGAGTGATATATAATTTCATTCATCACATTGTTGGTTATTTACACATGGAGATCCTCAGTTGGCTCTGCTTTGTGGTTTACGAGGAAGTGAATCACCCTGTAGATTTAACACTCAATCCTTACAATATTTGGTCTAGGTTTTGGACCCACTGCCCTACCTGAGATCTGTGTTGTCAATAGAATTTTAATAATTTTTCAATGGACAATGGATCTTTTCTTCATTGATGTATTAAAAGCAAACTAAAAATATTTTAGAATTCAATTAAAAGTTTGGAAATTAAACTTCAGCACAAAGAAATAATTATTACGTAAATAGAAAAACTGTAATCCACACATTTCTTAAAGCTATACAATACTCTAAAGAAAGCAAGGTACATACATATGGGAATGCTGAGCTTATATTACTCATTTCTTTTAACGAAATTAGTTCATTTAATTAAAAAACAATTTTTTCTCTATTTCTTATTTCCCTTTATCATTTTTTCATCCTCACCAGGTTTGGAGAGATTTCTGAAATTCTGTATGTTTCAATTTGGTTTCAAATAACAAAAGAAGAATGGAATTTATTAAAACGCATCATGAAAGTGTGTTCCCGTGTGCCCTGCCCTATATGCTCAAGTCTCAAAACAAAGCATTCTGGAATGAAATGTAAGTGGAACACAAAAGGTTACTAGATCTGCTGGTACTTTTCACTTAAAGGCGTCATGCTTAACAAGGTTAAAAAATTCACTGACAACTTCAATAATTCAATTTCACTGTGGTAATTAAAAAATTCTAAAGAACAAAGAAATCTGGCCAACACTGCCATTTGTCACACACAAAAAGTTGAAGTTTTCATTTCATTGAAACAGATAGTAAATTACGCAAGATAAAAACAAAAAACTGCCCAATTAAAAAAAATGCAAGAAATGCAAATAGAAAATTTTAAGTTATATAAATTAGAAGTGGCAACAAATTTAATTTTATATAGCACATTTTTAATTAGATGGGTTTTGGTTAATTTAGTTTAATTAAATGAAGAGTAGTAGCATAAGCTGAGAATTCCCACATAAGTTAATGATTTAATAGCCAAAAAATACTGAATTTTCTCTATCAAACAATAAAATATATTTGCAATGCCCAAAATATATATTAAAATCAAGTACATTAGTCTTTCTGCTTTAGTCAATTTTTCTTTCCACAGAAACTTTTCTTATAAGTAAGCACCTTTCAATCAACATAAATACATTTCACATTACTCTTTATCTTAACCAGGAATTCGTCTCAGCAGGTTAATAAAGACATGTGCAACTAACGAGTCAGCACCACAGCATCATGACTGTTTGCAAGTTGGAAACTTTTTCACACTAATACAAGAAATGGGTCTTCGCCAACGACGTTTGGCTCCTCCTCTTCGGCCATCATTTCCAGGTAATGCATTCTGCTGCTCTTGCAATTTACGTTCTTCTGTAAGAAAAAAAATATTTTTGGGTAGTTTAGTTATATCTGTAGTGTCATAAAATGTATCACAAATCTGAAGCTTAAAAAAGTCAATTGTTGTCTTGTCAATTTATTAGGTAACCTCGCCTTGAGACAAAAGACATTAACCAAAATTTTCAGAAATTCTTGAAATAGAATGAGATTTCTTAACGTGTAGTTTTTTTTTAATTGCACATTATTCTTTTTTTCCTCTTTCTTTTCTTCAATATACTTTTCTTAATGAACTAGAAGGTGTAAATTTAATATTTGATTTGTAACACGCATAACAACACGTAATTGCAACAATTTTAGACCCTGAAACAAAGAAATTTATGGAAACAAAACTAACAAGTGGTGCTACAGAATGGAACAGACATTCTTGTATTAGTTTTCTATTTTATTTGGTCTGGGCTATAGCTATTCAGACTAGGCCATCCTCTTGCCAGATGCCATATATTGCCACCCAAAGTAGATTTTAAAAAATTCTTTTACAATTTTTACTAATAAAATAACCGAAATATTGCTTTAGGAATGTTAAAGAAGAGTATAATCTCTGCCTAAACGGCTATTTTCATGGAATAATTTGGAGCCATTTCTAAGAAAATGGCATTTAAGCATTACTGTAAATGCGAAATTTCAAGCTTTTTCACACAAAGGTTTTGAGTTTTCAAAAGAAATTATTGGAAATCATTTGAAGCACTTTAATTCCCAAATGTAATAGTACAAATCACTGGAAATGTGGATATTAATAGCGTGAGATGTTTCAAGAATACTAACGACAAGAGATAATTTACAATTTGTAATTAAAAAGAGCAATATAGCGTTTATGTCATCTCAGAGAATACATACAAACAATACATTTATCACTATCCCTACCAAATGTTTACAGAAAAAAAATTGGAACGGTTTTTGAGAAAATCTTGTTTATGCTATTTTTGCTTTCTCTCACTTACTGACGTAAGAAGAGAAAGTATTGTAATAGTGTGCCGGAAAATGGCGAATTTTCGACACAAAAACTCTTATTGCCGGGCCCTGCTAACGTACAAGTGGATAAATCCCGTTGCTAAATATAGGAAGAAAAAAAAACCCTCCAACACGTGGTGTAGCAGAATCATTGTTTGTGGGTCCTTGATGCCGAAAAATCTATTGACGGCAAAACGTCTGGCTGTGCACAACGCTAGTGCAAAAACAGTTTAGCCGATTTTCTCCAAAATTGATATTCCCCAATCGCTCTAGGAGATGTTGCAGACCATGGAATTTGAAACAGACATTTTAATTTTGAGAGTTACTATACGTGAAGCTCAATCCCAATTTTTCGAAAACTGAAAAAAATAAAATAAACTTTAAAATTGGAGATAGAGTTTTTGTCTCAGACGAAATCAGTTGTACAAAATTAGCTCTTTAAAAAAGTTCCTGTCATTTTTTTTTAAAAACAAGTAGTTTTTCTGTTATTTGCGACTGAAATGTACGACATGTTTTTTTTAAAAAAGGCCGCTCCAAATTTTTCCTTTAAATTTTATTACTTACGAAATAAATATTTCACTTATGAAATAAGAGACGGTAAAAAAATATGGAGATAGTTCATTTTCTGGTATCACTAGTTTTTCGCTTATGTGCGATTGAAACGTGCGATTTTTTTCTTTCAAAAACCACTCAAAAGTTTTTCTTAAATTTTCTTCACATATGTCATAAGGAACGATAAGAAATATGGCGCTAGTTTCATTTTCGGGTGTTGCTCAGACAAAATCTGAGCAACACACACACAAGTAGTTTTGTGTAATTTCTGTCTGAAATTAATTAAATACATACGTTTAACACCAACTACGGGCCACAAAAAAATTGAATGAATGATATTAAAAATTAAATTAATTTTAATTTACTATGCAATATGCTTGTATTAATTCTATTTTTACACTCTGGCTATTTTACTCAATTTGTATTCTCAAAGTATTGATGTATTTCTTATTAAACAATCTGCGAAGCTTAATAGAAATATCGCAACAATGCCGTATAAATGAGACGCTAATTGTTGTTGAACGTCGTGATGTTGGCGGTGATATTTTGAGCCGTTTTATTTAATCCAGCTAGTGGTGGTGCCGATAGCCAGTACTTCCGTTTGCGATGAATTTCGCAGCGGTTTTTTATAAATGACTCCTCAGAATACCCGGTGAGGTATGTTATATATCATTTGATCCCTAAAGTATTTACTGCGAATTGAATAAAAGAAAAACGACGAAACGCAACTCACGAGTGAGCAGCCACAATTTTCGTAATTATTTTGATGTAAAATGCATATATTTTAATTACTGTACTGATATTAATCAAGCAAATGCACCGTTTTGGCAGATACGCAGACAATAGTCCGTTGCTCGCTCCTTGGCTAAATTGGAATGTTTTAAAATAATAGCCGGGGTGCTAGTGGCGCAGAAAGAGAAATATTTCAATATTACGTAGCTGTTTATAATAACGCGAGAAAGCATGTGCTGTTGGAGCACCACTAGTTTAATATTGTACATATTGCACGCAATATTGCCCGAAAACTACCAAGTTTCAAAAAATGTGGATAACCTCATTAAAAGATGTTGATTAAAAGATGTTATGTGATTATTTCCATTTCTCAATCGTTTTTCTGATTCAAATGTTAAACAAAATGTTAAAATTATTACTTGCAAAAATTGAAGGATGGTTTACAGAAACGTTAGGAGAGTATACCAAAGATGGAACACACCAAGCCTCACACACTTGGATTCTTTAAGCAAATCAGATTAAAAAAGATGAAGCACAGGACACAAAAGCAGCTGACTAAATTGTTAAGAACCATTATTAATCATACGTCAAAAATCTCATTATACATCAAAAAGAAACTGATAATGAAGTTTCCAATTCAATCCTATGAGCAGCTAATTACATACTTTCAGTTCATTCAAAAGATAAACTAATCACCAGAACACATCAACATTCTATTACATTTGAGAGGGTAACAAAGAGAGAGAGAGAGAGAGAGGAAGATGAGAGGCAGAACAACGTCTGCAGGGTTTACTAGTCTGTAATAATTTGTATCCCTGTATGATAAATATTAAATGTATAATTGAATTTTTTTTAACAAAAAACAGTAGTCCTCAACACACAGATTTTTTATGAGAGAAATAAATAAAAAACAACTCTCATCCTTCATAGTAGTATTCGGAATTAGAATTTTATATCATGAAAATAAAGAGTAATAACAGGTTACCTTTCACATGATACTTCTAATTTGCAAATAGAGGGTGTGAGTATGGAGAATTTTGTAAAAACCGTCTGGACTTATATGGTTTATGAGTGAGTTTATGAGGATGCCATTTCGCTGTATTATTTTTTCACTAAATATGAAATAATCATATTATACTTAATTAATGTTATTAAATGTAATATGTTTCATTAATTTTTATAAATAATATTTCCAATTATAATGAATAATTTCAATAATACAACGAAACAAAGGAAATTAATTAAGGCATTTTCTTAAAAACACCAACCACATTGAACTCTAGGTCTTTACAAACTATTGTTAAAAATACTGATAAAGACATCTCTTGTAACAACTTGTTACTCAGACTATTTCACTCATGAAATTTTAGCCAAAATCATGCAAGAATTCATACCATCAAACCAATCAGACACCGAGTATGCGAAATAATCGCTCTTTCATTACCACCTATTCAAAAGAGGTAATTATTGTTACTGGGTACAAAGAAACTATAAATAAATTTAGTTCATAATTACACACTATGTTTTAAAGGACTGTAACTTTATTTAGTTATTATTTGTCATGTTTTCTTCTGGGACAGTTCAGACTTGAGTTGAATGTGCATATTTTTAAGTGATGAGACATTTTCCCTGTATAAAATTTCAATTTCCTTACATTTGCCAGGCTTTCCTGTTTTTTCTAGAAACTGGTAACTTTGGTTTTTGTAAAATAAATTTAATCTTTCTAACTCATTGAAGAACTTTCAAAATTCAGAAATCTTGTCAAAAAATTAATTTCTGATCTTCTTACACCAAATAACTCCTATTCACCATTGTTTGTTAGCTTCTGAGGCTTTACAAGAACTGAAATTAGTTCCTTGTTGGAACTTGATGCTAACATTTTCATTAATTCTCCTTCATTCTTATTTTAATGTTAATTGAGTTGTTCACAGAACCAACACAACCAATAAGAAAGTTAAACACCGCAAACTTTGTTAATTTAAAAATATGTGCATTCCAGTAGTCACAATAATAGTACACCTTCCATTTGAAAATATATCATTAGAATTTTACCTTTAATGCACTGGGCATAATTTTTGAAGCACCATTTATAATAATCTCATGCACTGAAGAACTGTACCTGTATGTAAAAATGAAGGATAATTTTACATTTTCTTAATATCTCTTTAAGGCAATAGTCAAATTGGAGGCTACTTTTTATTTTTCTTCAGGAAATAAAAAATGTCATTATTGCCATAAATACAATAATTATAATTATAAGCACCCAATCCCCATAAAACAGATGGATTTTGTTCTTTAATTACATGAGAATGATACATAATGGGCACACGGGAAAATTAAAAGTTATTTAGTGATAGCATTCACTTTCTAAATATATGACATCACACATCACACAATTTATTAGATACTGATTTACATTTAAAATAGATAAACAATAATATGATGGCAGATTGATTTAGAAGACTGACAATTGATTGGGAAGAAAGAAATGAAATGCAAGAGTAATGAACGGCAGTAAGGAATGAATGTGAATATAAAAAAGAAGTGAAATGTTCACCAGCCAAGAATTTCGTCAATGGACACAAACCATGATAATCAGACAATGCAAGATTCAGATTATTCAGTGGATGCTGGTGCACTTCTCACCCAAACTTCTTGAGTTGTGCACAAACAGAAGCAGCTACTTAAGGACATGCACTGTCAAAGAAATTCGAGGGGACTCTGTCTGTGAAGAAAGGTCT